AAAGCAAAGCGTTACATTTCCTTTGAAGTGTATGCCCTGCAACACAATGTAGTCATAATGTTGGAGGCACAGCATCGGCTAATTTTCTTCTCTTCCTCCTCCTGTTCCTTCCTATGCCACCTTCGAGCGTGAGTACAATGAAAAGCCGATTGCATTGGAGTTTAAGTAACACAACCGTTAAACTTCATGTCGTACTGCCGACCGTTTGGTACCGTGAGGGATCACGAATCCCAAAGATTAAGTGAAATTCTGGGACCCAATATAGTTTTTAGCAATGCAGTTTGATCAGCGTAGGTGAACGAAAGGAAGACAAAGTTGTGACAGGCGGAGAACGATCAAACTGGCACAAAAGAACTCCATTAGAATCAGGAAGATGACGTTAGTTCATGCAAAGGTTGTTTGGCAATGACAAATATTCTTGTTAATGAAATGCATTCAATTTAATTTGCACACACTTTGTCACTCATCTTATGGGAGCTGTGGAAACCGATGGAGTCCACGCCACGCATAGCTGAAGATTGTGCAAAAATAATCTCTACATGATAATAATATAAAAAGATGATAAATAAAATTTATCATTCGAAGCTCTCATATGGTTACAAATCTGACAAATATTTGCTTCGAATGAGCTGACGAAAGCTCAGCACCTATTATAGTTGTTGAAACATAAAGACACGTTTCCTTTCCCAGCCAAATTAATGGAAATCAGTGGTTGCAAAAGCACTGCAGAACAGTCAAAGTCGAGTCATCTCGTGTAGGCTCCCCATCGCCAATGGTTGTCTGGAAGGCAAAATGAAAGCAAAATGAATGAAATGAGACGCGCTGTCAGGCTTCATCGCGGTGTAACAAGCCATTGGGCACGAGGTGCAATCCGATGCTTTGTTAGCGCCTACAACTCTGAGTTTCCATCTTGACGCGATGGTCAAGCCAGACTAGATGAAAGCAAACAGACAAAATTTCGAGAAATGTCAGCAATTTTATTGTAAAAATGACAACAGGTATAGAATAAAATTTAGTTACTCAAACTTCTCATTTGAGCAGACAATCTGAAAACTACTACAGCACCAAAAAGATATGCATACGCATAACAATGTTAACGCCCACACGTATAAACAGCGATTTCGGGAAGTTAAACAAATGCTTGACCAAATGCATAGGTAAGTGGCACAGGTGATGCAACCCCTGTTTATGCGCTGTTGACGTTTACACCATCAAACTACAACATTCGAGTGCATACAAGTGTGACCTGCATTCTTCTTCTTCTCCTCCTCCTCCACCTCCTCCTCCTCCTTACTTTAGCCTCGCATCGTCGCTCTCCTGTTGCTGTGCTTCGTTTTGAGGCGCTCATCGCTGTGGAGAGTGAGGCGGTAGCCGTTGTTTTCGGATATCTATACATTCCATGCACCTATTATTTTTGCCAACACTTGGGCAGTCGTGGATGCAGACTTTTCCAGGCTTTCTAAAGACTCATCAAAAAGTACGACTGATACTGCGTCGAAAGCGACTTCATTCGACCGAAATAAGCGCATTCCACCGTGTCCCAAATTCATCAATATCTTCCAGTCCCTTTGCCTTCTTTTATATGCTTTCTGCTGTCTTGGCTGCTGATTGGCTCTCCACAGCGATGAGCGCTTCAAAACGAAGCACAGCAACAGGAGAGCGACGATGCGAGGCTAAAGTAAGGAGGAGGAGGAGGAGAAGAAGAAGAAGAAGAAGAATGCAGGTCACACTTGTATGCACTCGAATGTTGTAGTTTGGTGGTGTAAACGTCAACAGCGCATAAACAGGGGTTGCATCACCTGTGTCACTTACCTATGCATTTGGTCAAGCATTTGTTTAACTTCTCGAAATCGCTGTTTATACGTGTGGGCAGTTTTAACTACATTCTTTTACTTCTACACATTCAAGTGAATATGTGAAGACCCGAAGTAGTTTATGCCCTTGACACTGGTTCTTACATACTCCTTACTAAATAAGCTTACGTTAGCCTCGTCATCTATCTATGACACTTGTGCTCATTTGATCACAAAATATTTGTGTCCCAAGGCAGCAGTCATTTAGCGTAGAGCCTGTCCATTTGAGCAAGCAGTTGGACAGAAGCCCTAGACATGGTACAAACGATGCCAACCGTATTAACACATAGCCGAAACCACATGTGAACACTCGAGCTCTACCTTCGGTCCTTACTTAAGTAATTTTGCCTCCCATAGTTAGCTGAGCCGTGAGAGATTTGAAGTGGACTTGCCTAACAATCACGAAGAAGAGGTAGTGTCTGGCGCAATGAAGGGCATGGATGAAGGGAAGAAGAAAGAGTTAATAAAAAACCAGGCGACCAGAGACAGAAAGATGTCCTTATTTCTCTGAATAAATTCGTGAAACCCTAGAAGAAATTTCCCCGTTACCATCCACAGGATTCAAAATGAGAATGTACCATGTATAAGCTTTACAGGTTTAATCTTTTCAACTACAATGTTGGTTAAAATTTTCAACAATTAAGAGACAAATTGTGGTGGTACACAAATGGGGATTCTGCGAGAATGTGCGTACCGAAGGATAAGTTGTTAAATTCAGATTGAATAGCTACTAAAATGGTCTGCATGTCTGAGGGCATGAATCTCCTTCTTAATGAGGTGGCGTGGATAATTTGCTATCAACAATGTGAAATGTGAGGGACAAAGGTGAAACTTCGTCCAGCTTTTGCCGCAACTGTTATCTCGTGTATTTCGCCCTACATAAAATAAGCTTATCAACAGATATTCAGTAGTATGATGAGGTACAACTTAGAGAATAATCTCAATTGTTGACCCTTTCTATGATGCATGAAATGGTGTAAAATGTTTCATTTACACATTCAGTTTGTCCTAAATTCCAACCAACTTTAAGATAGATGGAGAAACTAAAGAATGGGTGTGAAATGATGCCTGTGATTATCCACTGCTCAGGATTGCCCTCTTTGCCTTTTCAGATGCCAATTTACTGCACTCGTTTGCAAGGCGTAGGTTCTTTTTTGGAAACTAATAACCCCTGCTTGTACCTTCTAAGCAGCAGGTATTTATGAAGAAGGAATAGATAGCAAACGTTACAAGTTTTTCCTTAAGTGTAAGCACTAGGCACTTTTTGAGCAGGCTTTCAATGGAACATTTGCTGTGAATAATGCTCCTTTTTGTAAACGGCTTATTTTGCTCCTAAGAAGCTGTTAATCCGTCATTCGAAGGCCTGTGATGTCAAAGATTATCAGTTCGCATGCAAATCACTACAACGTATTTGCATCCTTTAGTTTTCACATATCTTAACGGTACCGCCGGAAACGAATTACTCCATTACTTTCGTTTACTTCATCGCTCAATTTGCTGTAGAGTAGAATACTGCACAGCCAGAACACAAGAGGATACTAGTAAGCAAGTTTCCAGAGGCTTTTCAGAAGCTTGTATCTGTTGTCCGCCTCGAGATGCACAAAGCCCTTCTCATCGACACTAACTGCGTGCTGCACTTAATTAGAAAAGTCTGTGAACCTTCCCCACCCCATCGTTTTTGTAAGTTACTGCAAGCAACCAATTTCATTCATTCACCTGTTGCGTGATTTTGCTTCACCAAAAGCCGCTTTGGGAGATGCTGAAGCAGCAGAACAAGATGCACTTATCAGTTTGACGACATTGACACTAATTTCAATCTCTATTATTCAAGAATGAAGGAAAAGCCATTCTCAAATAATTGTACCGATGAATCGCATGATCCGCTTGCTTTACAGCGCCTAAAAAACAAATTATTTCGCGAACGCACCTACGTACTTACCCAATAGTAATGAGGCCGCTCTCGTTCCAGTCGTCGATCCGTTAAAGCATGAAAGCGAATTTACTGCAACTTCACAATCCATCAGCCCGTCTGCCCACCTTACCCCGACAGTACACTAATCCATGGAGGTGCCGATTGGAGCCCACTTAGTGTACAAACTTCAGACATGCATTTCCGCCTCCTGAAGCTTTGCAAACGGTCTGGTTGCCACCTCCTACATTGATGAGAAAAACCCCAAGGGGACATTTACACTCAACACATTTTGGCGAGGGGACGATGACCAAACCCAACTCCAGCAAGTTGTGCTCGAACCTGAGACACTGATCAAAACAACTCAGTCGACGACCAAGGTAAGTACGTCACAGTGCAAAATCAAAGCCTCACCATATTCCCCTTAATTGTATTTCCAATTACGCACTCCTGAATTGCCGCAGTCCTATACCTCGGCAACCATGACAACTCGACCTCACGACTTGGTCGGCGTATCACACTTTTGGATGCAACCCTAGCAACCCATTCCATCCAGCCTTTGTAAAGGAACAGACGACTTCAAGGTATTACTTCCTTTCGGGGAACTTATTCGCCCACAGATGTTCAAATGCCACCACAGCAATTCGTAGTTTATTGTGCTCAAACGATACGAATCAAGTTCGCACAAAAGTCTCAATCAAATGACAGAGCCGCCGCCCAAAATAAAGTGGGCCAGGCGAAGTCCTCCAGGTTTGCTTACTGCGCAATCTTTCACAAAATCAGACCCTAAAGCCATTGTTATCATTGCTATTAGCGATGTTTCAGTAGAACGACATTATTATCCAAGTGTTACTTTTTACAACCTACTCATCATGAGGTGAGAAAACACGTTCGATACACTGGGTACAATATAAATACAATTTTGGGTAGAAGAGAAAAGAGGAGCATGAACGTGTTGATTTCCCCTAGGTTAGAGGACAAATATCGATCAAATGTCACGTGACTCGGATGACCACATCGCCAGTGCCTAGCACACAGAGGGAGGCGTGATTGTACCTAGACTTTATGTATAGTTCGTGAGTTCACGTGCTAATTGATGTTAGTTTCCGGAGGCTAATGGTTAAAAGAGGATGGGACTGAGAGAAAGCGAAACACAAAGGAGTTTAGGCGACACGATTGCTGCGAGGAGAGAGGATAAAGGAGAGTGACATCCTCAAATGTGTCAGAGGAAAGCAGGATCAGCGTTTTGCCAGATGTTGCGAAGGTGGTGGCTGCAGTTGATTTTGATAGTAGAAGAAATGCCGGGTTGGCTTTAAGTCGTTCAGTGGCATCGCCTGCAAAACCTCGTCTAATAGTTGCAGTGGTCTGGAAACAAAATACAGCATAAACCTGACGTCGGTGGGAAATGATCAAAAGGTAACATTTGACGGGAAAATCTCCTTGACCAGAAAACGTAACCTGCAATTTGACTATCAACCTCTAGAATTCTACAAAACAAGCAATGTTGTGGTGACGGATTCAAGCTAATGGGTTGTTCAACGGCTACCTCACTCCAAGAAATCGAATGGCGTTGAAAGACCCACTGGAGCCAAGTTAATTAATGACGAAGCAAAATCTGTAATGCCGAGTGGAAAAGCTAACCTACCTAACACATACTTCGAGACTTGGGGAAGTCAGAAAGTATAAAGTATTTGCAATACCTGTGTAGTTGGATTTCAATCCAACAAGGAGTCTCCTTAATGTCGTGTCGGGGATAGTCCGGACCCCAGCCCTTGACGAAACTAAGACGAAGGTTACATAGTCGACGGAAGTCGTCCACCCCTACACCAGCGGCTTCACATGTGCCCATTGGCGCAGTTGCTGCTGCAGCAGCGGAGGCAGCGGCGGCTGCATCGGCTACTGCGCCCATCTGCATCGAACCCGCTACCGCAGCGGCCTGACGCATAGCCGCAGCCTGTGTCATGTGGGCCAGATGACGCATCTGTTCGTGGCATTGACGAATGTCGAACACCTGTAACAGGATAGCGAGGGTTAAAATTCCACAAGCATGTATACACACAAGAATATATGTACATCCTGGGCTGTTTAAAAGAAACCAACCATAGGAAAACCTACACAAAACCACTACACGAATCCCTTTTTTTGGCAGCACTTTAATCCCAACTAAACAATATCTCAAACGAGCTACAGTTGACAAGTGATCAAAACAGTGTAGTGTTAGCAGCTTTTAATGCTGACACAGAGGAACTGAAATTGGAACAATTCGCGCTCCTTTACTCCTACGAAACCCAACGGATTGTGATGTCATTGCAAAATGCCTGCTTCCTATTCATTCACATGCCTCTGGTTGCACCTAATACTAGCTTAGGAGATGCGCAAAGGTGTGGCTAAAATGTGATGGTAGGCACAAAAGACTACAAAACTACAGAAAAATGATTAGACTGCTCTAATAGTGTTTTAAACTAGGTAACAAATTGGTGACAGACTGGAAACTTCACCCTCGTAGTCATTAACGAAAGAGATGCCTACATTTTTTAAAAGTCAAAGGTGAAACGGAACGGACAGGGATAAAGTGGGAAGAAAAGCAAGCACTGTGTGCGCGAAAACACTTTCGAAAAGAGGCGATCTTAAATCCCTAGTTCCTATTAAGAAACGGGTAGCGTTTCTAAAATTCCCAAAAGGAGAACCATGCCATAGCTACAGATAAATATACCTTTGGGTCCAATCAGAGAAAATCTATTAAATTCGCTAATGGAAGAATTCCAATTAAATTTCCTCATAAGCAACCGATACGCCTATTCCAATAGAGGTGGGATAAGTAGGTGCGTCTGAAAAATGATTTTCAACGAACAACGTCAGTAGCCGCTAGGATGATTAAATGGACCAGGTGGCTCGGGGCTTCCGCCCCATGGGGTGGAGGAATGCAGTAGAAAATAATGTCAACGTCACTTAAAACCAACAGTTTTGCCAATTGTGGCGGATCAGCTGCAACGTCAATTAGAAGGGGAGGCGTTCCGGACATTGGCCCACGGTAGCTCGAGCTTACGGACACGTAAACGCACGAGAAAGCAGAGACGGGGCGTGGCGTAGGCACACACACGGTCTAAAAGTACAAAAGCGCGAGGGTGCACCCACACGTGGGCGATCGACACTCGACGAAGCGCCGGAGGTGGTTGCCATGTTTCGCATAACGCTCGCGGCACGAGTGCATGTGTACGCACACGCTCCCTAGCGCGTGCACACGCAGACCTCTAGGTATTGTATTCTTTATTCAAGCACTTTTGCAGCGATCGGCTGGATGATTTATGCTAATGCACAGCAAAGCCTAGTATTGGTAATGGCCTTACATGCACGTGTACGCGTGCCGACCTCTATAGCAGAAAAGTTGTTGGAACACCACCACCACTATTCACATCTGTCCTCTATTCGGCGAAGTGATTTTCCTTACGATGATGACGGAATAAGGGAAAACAATCTGCAAGAACACAATGCAAAGGATTAAAAATCCATTCCTCAAGCATGCAATCATAATGTTAGTTTTCTCAACTCTTCTATCGCTGATAATGTTATGTAATAGATCGGTAAAAGTGGCAACCTCAAGACTAGATTAAGCGTCACAGAGCGATAAAAGCAGACCCCACGAAAAACGTCTAGTCCTCTTGTCGGAAGATGAAAAAGCGGCCAAAACCCCTCTTCGTCTGGACTACAACATACGAAGACCATGCATCTCAGGTCGCTTGGCAGGGTTGGGAGTAAAAAAAAGCACCCAAACGTACTTAAAACCAAAGAGAAATAGTTTACCTTAATGTAAGCACCAGGGTAGATTTTGTGTACAGCATCGCCTGGTGCCCTGCCTGCCTCGCGATCAAGGTAGTAGCTTTGTACAAAGATGGAGAACTCCGAGAGACAGCGGATCCACACATCACCCTCCCCCACTATGTCCAACTCGACACCCTTTCCAATGTAGAGGCGCGATTTCTCTGACTGCTCCGACCTAAAGAAATGGAAGCAAATGGAAGGCCCAGTAGTTGACAGAGCAAAAATCAACCACAAAAGCTAGCTTTCTAAAAAGACAATTCACCTTAAAGAATAAGGAGAATGAGCTTCAACTAAATCGGAAACAACTAAAGTGCACGTGCACTTCTGGTTAATCCTTCGATAGTTCGATTACCGTGACGTGATGTTCAAACCAAAACAGAGACCATGCAAGAGAAAAATTACCTAGCGTTAAACAAAGACCTTAGTTTAATTTGACAATATTTAGGCGAACGAAACAAAAAAAATAAATGGTGGCGTTTTTAGCGGAGAAGCAAAATCAACCAAGCGCCGAATGACCAGAGTTGTGTCAGAAGCGTTCACATGCCGTTATAGACTTGAATAAGCACTGTACACACGCCTTCTTAGTCCATCGCTGATGGCAACCAACAATAAAGGATCTTTTATTTATTACCCAAAGGCGGCGCCTCAGGGAGAAAAAAGAGTCCAGTGCCAACCAAATAATGACGGTGATTAATAGTAGTAGAGCAGTCGAAATGAATAATACCAAGTACGAGTGCTCAAAATCTTACTATAACTTGCATGCGAACGTAAAGTACTCTTTGTAAAAAAGAGAAAAGCAAATCGATGCCATTAATAGTACCCATTAAGGTATGGAAAAAGTGAATCACCTCAGAATCTAACCACAAAAATGCCATTTTAGAAATGTGCACCTACGGGGAAGACCTCTTTACCTTAATGTGACGGAGTTACTTTGGCCAGTGAAGGCAGATAGTCCAATGCATCTAGCCAGAGCAGTCACTGAAACAGTTCCTACAAATCGCGTGCATGAACTCTAACGGAACTGCAAGGCCCACTTGAAGGAAACACAAACACGTCTTGCTCAGTCAGCTTGCCTCGACGGGTTCTAACCACTTGCATACCCTGGTTAAAACCAGAAATTAATGGCAATACTTGTACAGGAGAAGACACGAACAGCCGACATTCATTAGAGGCGTCCAATTGCCAAATAAAAGTGACGACACAAAGGGAGTGTATGGACCGAGGCCCAGCGTGTAGCAGCAGGCTAGACAGAAGCGGGCGGGTAGGGCGTCTGAGCGAGACGCATTGAAGTCAGCGTTCATACGCGCACCGCCCCGCTAACCAAATCCAATCACACCAGCGCGTGTGAACCTTTACAAGTGTCCGCCTTTTACTGCACAGACAAAAGGTTTTAACGCATTGGGTCGCAATTTTTGCTACGCAGCATCGTAGACTTCTGATGCTAGTGCTATAAATAATCTTGGCCGACTGTTAAGGTCGATTCCGCTGGTAAAAACCGCATGTGTAGATCACTATTAGTTACTTACGGTTAAATTAGACGGTCCATTCATTTTGCTACACGTTTTAACGAGAGAAATGCAAAACCTTTATTAAAGAGTGTAAATTGAATCGTGAAAGTTTCAGAAAAAAGAATAAGGTGTTTCCGTGAAAAATTATTAGGCCACGCCATCGAATGAAACACTCAATTTTTCCAAATAACACATTTTAAGCAGTCTAGAGCACAAGTATAATTGCTACCAAATTATGAAAATAAAAGAAGAATAATTTTTGTGAAAAAAGAACTGGAAAGTGAATCACTAATGCAAAGCCCAGTTAGAGCGAAAGTTCTTTCCAGATGAGAGGAGCTGAGGGGAACCCAAAATGGAAGAGCAGCATAACCGACGGTACATTCACAAAATCACAAACGAGCAGTCAAGAGCTTGTGTGAGAACCTGGTGAAAAAGCTTTCCCAGACTCCAAAACGCGGACACGAGACCAGTGGGCATCAATCAACTATCCAAATCACCCTAAAAGGTTTAGGCAATTCAACAATAGCATCCTTAACTCCATAAATTCTATTTTACCAAAGGACACGAGTAGTAAATATCTTGATTTGATAAAACTTGGGAGGACTGAGGACAGGGGAAGAAATTACCTGTGCACGTTGGAGAGCTGACCGAGACAGAATCGATTTCGACTGGACGGATCGGTGTAGCCGTCCACAATTACACGTGTATAGTGACTGGGTACCTTGAATAACTCGCCCACCTGCTGATCCAACTCGAAGTAGGCTATATTGCACCAATACTCCGGCGGCCTCTGTGTTGTCAATTGTGAAGGCTGCAGTGGAGAAAAAAAGGCGGCAGATAAAATCGAATCTGCACTATGAGCACTAACATGTCAATCACAATACCGAGCCGGCGCCGAGCAAACAAAACACAAGGAAGCGCGATAGAAATAAGAACAATAGATAATTCAGATCAAAAATGATGATAAGCAAGAGGCATCGTTTAGTTAAGAAACACGCTGATGCCTATGTAACAATGTGCAAGAGTGACGGTTCTTTGCTGATGAAATTCAGGACGACTATCAACCCAGTCACAAGATCACTTATGAAGAAGAGCTGGCACAAAATATCGATGCATTGGATCGAAAGCACAGGAATGCTGCTCGCCTTCTGTTCAATATCAGAATTCTTTCACTTATATTCACGTAAAACAGTCACGAAAGAACTGTCGGAAGAGGAGCTCGGAACATCTTCATTCAAATGAACTGCGGACCACGATACCTTGATGTTTTTAACTCAAGCTAAACGTTCGATTACATACAAATATATCACGCCTTAGGTACTCTTTTCGGGTGTCAGCCCAATCGTATACAAATTGTGGAAAGAAAGCATTGAGGAAAGCATGGACGATCGATGGGACAACTATAGACAAAAACGCCAGAAAACGATAAAGGTACACTGAATCGCAATTTATAAAGATGTCTGCGACTAACTAAAGTTTGAAAGCTGCATTATGCTTTCAAAAACTACGCAACAAGGATGAAGTCTGTGGCACCTTTGTGAAGTAGAAAGATGTGACAATGTGGACATGATGGAAAACAGCATATGTATAGGGTGAGTACATTCCCAAACCACAGGACTGCCAGCACTGAGAACAGAATCCTCTTAGTTCTAAGACAAATAAACAGATTGAGGGTGACCGATTGGAATTTGATGTAGACGAAGCAAAAAAAAAATGAAATGAATACACCAAGTCCAAAAGACCTAGCGATCACAGAGATCCGCTACCTCACAACTATCTCGTAATAGAGGGATCAGAGACGCTTAACATATTCAGGTAACCTGTGGACTCCACGTAGCCAAGTTAAGGGAAAGAGAGCGTATTCAGAACTGAGTGGTTAGGATAATGGTATAGCTCTTAATGAAAGGGATTTGGTCTTATATGGCTGCTCCAACATCCTCGGCAAGCCTTAATTGAAAGAAACAGATGAATATGGGCGAACTACAAAAAGCAGATGCTTCACAGCAAAAATGCTGGTTAATCACCGATGAAGATTACAACATTGGGGAAACCGTATCAACAAGGCTAGTGCTAATAGGAGTCTTGGAAACCGAGCTAATCAAATGGACAGTGCATTGCTTGTCGGTGAGCAGTATCGGTGGTTTGTGTCGACTGAAATGTGCAAGAAGAGAGCGACGTGGGAACAGTCGCCAGCAGTGCTGGAAGACACAGCTTACATCTGAATGATTTACTTATGGCGGATAAATAATAACCCCGACATTGATCACCAGCAAATGCTGTCTGAAGTGAACTCTGAGATCAAACATCCAGTAGAGGGGAACGTATATGGTTGCCGTATTTCATCGCAATTTTAAAACCACCGAGGTTTAGGCCGGTAGCGTGGTTATTGCTGTGAATTTCGAAATGCCTTACCGAGGTCTTATTTGCAATAAAGTTAGTAGAACCAGCGGACTGTTTTCGCAGGGGCATTGGTCACAGAGAACAGAATTGTATCGCAGTGACCTGCCGAAGTAAGCCATCAACTTGCACAAATTCGTGCAATGTTATGAAATGTAAATACCGGTTTACCGCATCACCTGCCTTTGGCAATAGCACATTGAGGCGAATGAAACGGCGAAGCCCCGCCAAGTTGAAAGTTTGTAACATCGACGAGCTCGCCAACCTCCCCCTAAGAACACCAAAGGCACACGTCACGTGACAGCTCTGGTAGATCACGTGCGATCCCAAGTCCACTGGCGGCCGCGCCAGACGGAGCTACAGTGTCCTGTCCTGACAGGTAAGCCCACCATGGCTAGTTCACAATTGAAGACCGTTATTAAAGCAGAAGTGGAGAAAAGTGGAAAAATTAATAGGATTCTCCACTCTGCATAGCCCTCACTTAGGCACTCCGGCATTGATAATTGCAGAGAATGAAAGTGACGAGGACAAATACCAAGGCTAAGCAAAGAAATAAGAAGTAAGAATATGGAGTTGGACAATTTGCAGTGTTTGCTCTTAATCAGATGACAGGAACCAGACCTTTTGAAAGTACAGGCCTCGAGCAACCGAATCGCACAAAAATGTGTGCGATAAATGCCTGTTCCATGAGGAATAGCTTATTTTCCTCTTGCACCTTAAAGGAGAAATTTTATAATCGACAGAATGAACATGTGAAAATGTAAGTATTTGTTAGTCGGGAAACCATATACGGAAACTCGAATTTTCCTCAACACACTTCGAGTGGATCGGCTGGATAAGATACTGACATCCATGAATAATGGGTACGGAGATTGGCAGCTGAGGCAAATCTATGCATCGTAATGCCATTTAAGACACCAACTTGATGTGTTAGCGATCGTGAACGGCGGCTAAACATTGGCTAAATTGAGAGGATGAAAAAGTGATAAGTAACCAAAATTCTGTTGTTGGACTGAAACGCTTACGAAAGAATTCAACTTCTGATTATTGTTTCGGTTTTTCGCAATCAATAAGCACAAGTCTTAAGAGTTGAAACTAAGCATGAGTCATCTTTGAAAAAACCAATGTAACGAACTCCAAGACATATAATTAAGGTCACATGTGTTTTCAAGGTTATAGATGCACATATGGAAATTCAATACAAAAGACGAAATATAACCCTAAGTCAAAATTCTGAGAAACAAAGGAATTAAGAAGCATACTTATGCATTATTCGAATTCTGAGAACAAGTGTTGAGGTACTGAAATAGAGTGGTAAAATGGTATTTATTTTCGGTTACATACATCAATTTGAATTGTTTGAGTTCAGCCAATTCAAGACGTTGGAAGACCTAATGCAACACCGACATCTCTTACATCTCTCGCGTTCCACATCTCTTTTTTCTTCAAGTACGACATTATAGGTCAAGACACGATTGCCCAGACTCCTGATTAAATTACACTACTCATTAAATTGTTAAAAAAATTAAAACACTGTGAAACGACTGGAAATACTTACCTGTAGACTTCCACTGGGAGGTGGATTCGGTGGGAGCATGGGAGGAGGCTGTCCACCAGGTGCACCACCGCCACCCCACCCACCACTAAGAGAGGCAGTGGAAGATGAGGAAACGGATTGTTGCTGCTGCTGCGAGGCACGCCCATAACTACCGCTGCCACCAGCAGTGAACGCGGACTGCCCGTTGTTGGTGCCGCCGCTGCCGCCGGAGCATTGGCTGGGGTATAGGATAGGTGCCGGAGCACCTCCCGACGCGGCTATGGGATCGAGGAGGGCCGCTGTCTCTGCCGCGTCGAGCGCTACGGCGGAGGCCTCTTCGGTACTGGAAGTAGGGTGTGACGATGGAAGCGTTTGGACCGGCGCCGGTGGAGGGGGAGGCGGAACGGAATGTGCACCCACACCGCCACCACCAGCAGCCACAGCGGCCGCGAAAGTGGCGTTTGCGTTGCTGACCCACTGCATGAGGTTCAATAGATTCGCTGTTGCCGCATCAACATTTTCCAGTGAAAGGGGATTGGCTGCTGTTGTTGTGACAGTGGCAGAAGTAGAGGGTGGTTGCTGTTGTTGCTGCTGCCGATGTGCAGGCTCGTAGACGATTGTACTATTCTTTGTCTGTTCTTGTTTAGCAACCCCAGACAAGTTAGGGACACCTAAAATTGAGGCAGGAGACCGCTGCACTGCCCTCATTTTCGAAAATAATAATTGGGCGAGTTTAAAGTGATTTATGGTCTATGCAAAGGCAATAATTGATTAGATCAGTTTGGACAAGTGTAGCTAAAATTACACACGCATAAACACGGCCTTTAAATGGCCCAGTTGCATCGCAAAAGCCATCGCACATTTGAAAGTGATTTTCCGATGAGCAAGAATTATTGGTCAAATTAGGAAATCACTGGATAAATTAGGCAGACCTGGAGTATTTGACAACACTAAGCTTGTCAAAACTGCTCCATTACAAACAGCCTTCAAGGTTAGACCACATAGAGAAGACCGCCCCCATCAATTGCTTTAGCAGAGAAACCGAATTAAGTCCTTTACGAATGTGCAGACAAGCAGGGTCGGACTTGATTCATGAAATAAGCTATAAATGCAGCTCACCAGCACCCCTATTTCCGTCAGTACAAGAGAGTAATCAGGGAACAAGATGGCTCCGATGAGAGCGATAGGGATTTGAAGAGGGGAGGCAAATATTGATCAAGCATGATTTACAGCACTAGTGCGTATACCTGTGCACATGTATGCGAGCACAGGTACGCAAGAATACGTGCATCTAATCGAATTCTGTCACTTGAATGTGCACCGCCACCACCAACACATTACGCTTTTCGTCTTTCCGAGCAACGAGCACCGCCTGCCTTGCTGGCTCACACACGGGCATAAAAATGCACACGCATGCATGCTTTTTCACCGAAAAAGAAGTTGTGTACTTCGTATACCTCCGCTTCAACGAGCTTTAACTAATTAACCTACCGACCAACAGTTGACACTTGAAAAAGTACACAAATTCTGAGTACTCTGTCGAAGCCCTCCCATGCGGTAAAAGTCGAAGTTGCATCACCATTGTAAAAGTCATGCCCTCCCCAGGTGACGGGATGGTTAGAGTACTACCGCTCTACTCAGCTAGAACAGGATTCTGACGACACAAAACTAACGATCAAAAATATTCATTCACACATGTCATAAATATGCTGCATTGTTAGTCGAGCTGCCATCCGTACGGTTTTAATAAGATACAGGCAAAAGGAAAAAAATTGTGGCACTGAGGCAACAAATAATCTAGAGTTCAGCTACGGTGACGCAGCAGACTATTCAGTAATCCAGTCCTAAATCAGTCAAAATACAGTCTAAGTTCACTCCAAAACTCCTAATTCGGCACAGTAAATAATCCGGTCCGCTTCGCTGCGGGCACAGTGTGTAAGCGCTAATCACACATCGTTTAACTGACGCACTTTTTAATTTCCTATTTAGAATGCATTCAAGATCTTCAAAACATCACCAAATTAACACACCACATCTCTAACTGAACTGCAACGAGAGATTGAGCTTCAAATTGACTACTTTCCTAAATGAAAATAGACAAACACCATGATGGGTCGAATCGGACGCCACACATTACAGCCAATTCAACGGAATCGAATAAAATGAAAGAAGGGAACCTATTCAAACTTTTTAACGAGGGCTACCACAACCGATGTTTCAGCTAAACTAGGGAAACGACAAGAAGGGCCCATTTGCAAGCAATGATTGGGTTTAAGGATGACCTACATATCTAAATGTTTGGTTGAGTGATCAGCAGATTATACAATATCTAAACAAACGCAGTCTCATGTTTAGATAATGACCCTTTTAAAGTTACATTGTGCCGACATCAGGGCGACGTGTTCAAGAGGGCACAAGCTACTGGGGCAAAATTATAGACTATTTCGAGGAACCAGTGCAAACTAAGGTAAGAACTATTTCCAGGTAGCCCCAAACAGGAAGCATTTCACAAGACCACAATTCCGCATAGATTATAATTGCCTCCCTTCAACAATTGCAGTCGCACCTAGAAAACGCGAAAAGTAAAGAACCAATCGAATGTTAAGTTGAAATCGGTTGGTAGGTATAAATGATGTAATTATTTATTCGAACATAAATGGTAGACTAGTGGTTTAAGAAGTTGATTGAGTCAGCAATAATGTCGAACAGAATTACCAACGATTGCGAATACGTCTAAGTAAGAAGCTTACCCAATTGAACAATGGGAGGACACAAGACCAGAGCACAAACACTATGGGAACGTAACTAGTTTCAGCGCCGAGTCCTGAGTCTCTTGTCTAGCGGGGTGGTAATTGCGAGGCGAAAAGCACGAAAAAAACGAAGAAATTCAAATTTATCTGTGCTACTGACATGGGACACCGACAATTAAATGGGTTTATAGATGGATGGATGATGGCCGGAGATTCCTTGATGGGCGTAAACAACCACCGAAGTTTAATCTTTACATCACAAGGCATTTATACAGTTATCCATACACATTGAAAGGACGGCCGGAACTCACATAGGGGACCTTCGTCGAGAAGAGACTGAACACTGAGTCGAAGCGTAGGAGCGGGATGATTGGTATCAGGGTGCTGCAGTTCGCTGCTATGACGCCTCTGCTTAGTAAAGACCTCCTCTCCCTCGACTCCTGAAGGCAGATTATGTACGCGCGTGCAAGCAACCTTACCCTTGCGCCTCTCAACGGGAGGACTAAGAGCCAACGACGAGATGTCGAGGGCGGAAGAGACGGTGCGCTCGTAGTGATAGGGGTTGACACAAACCCAATCAAGCTTCTTGTCAAATCCAAAGTGACAAAAAGGCAGATGGCGCAGCTCCGTTTTGTGAGCATCCGACCATCGCCAGAGGCGAGCGTAGATGAGATGTGGAAAACACTTCCGACCAGCAATCTAGAGAGTGTGTCAGAAGAATAAAGTTGAGAAAAGTCAACCTACCTGCATTCGACTATCGAGGGTTCGCTGGATGGTCACGCAGCTGGTCTGTGTAGCCCCATTGCTAGTCACTGCCACGATAAGTGCATCTAACTCGTCCCTGCGATCCTTCAGCTTCTTAATGAGGCTTTCAATAGCGAATTTGGAGAACTCCTCCGACTCCCCACCCTTTCGATGACACATGAGACTGTGCACTATATTCATGCAGGCGTCTGAGGAGGTGGAGGTGTTTACTGGCAGATGTCCGCGGGTTTGGGTCAGCGAGCGACTTTGGGAATGGCTAGTCTCATGGTCTGTACCGAGAATCTTCATAACCATTGAATGTGATGATAAGCAAGCGGTAGTCGCCTACGCGAGCAAAAAATAAGCAGCATGACTTGAGGCTCTTATATTAATCCCACTTGCGCAAACGTAAGCCTGACCGACCAGTGCAGCAGAGCACTTAAGCTAGCAAAACCTACAGGTACTACAATGCCTCACGGGGTAAATCTCCATCAGCCAATGAACTAGGTGGATTCAGAAACAGTAATGTGATAATAGGTATAATCAACAACGAGAGCAAGCTAAGCGAACTGGGGGGGCATAAACTATCGTGCGGCGTGAAGCCAAATTTAAGAGCATCAGAAGGAAGGAGAAAAGAATAGGTTACAGGTCCCAATCACAATCGCAATGAGCATCAAAAATACGCACAAATACGAACTGGTAGTCAATAACACAGCTGCAATTCTGCATACTCTATGAATAGTATAAGTAGAAAGCATCACATTTAAATCACCAAATACACCGCCCTACGTAACTCAGTGCACCTAGTTAAGAGGAGACGACGATACGATATCAAATTAACTCTGGGCGAGTCGAGCAAGTTAATTTATCAAAACTCATAGAGAAACAAAACGACTCACATCTAAGACCATCATCGAAAATGGCGCACTACCACACAACCAAGGAGTCTATACGCACCTATGATCCTTGGCTATGATTTGTGAACGGGATTAACATCATCTGCATTATTTTTTCTGTCCTTAAACTGTATCTTAAACAGGTAATTATAGTAATACAAAATACTAGTATCCAATGCTAGATCAACTTTCGTGCAGAACTATTAAAAATCCAGTCGCAGAGACACCCACATCGGAGCTGATAGTTTTAGGTTTTAAGTAGTGTGTTCAAAGAAAGTTTACGTGTAGACTGTAAACCTTCTAGTTTTATTTGAAGAAGAATAGCTCCTTTACACGCAATGATTTAGAACTATCATTATGGCTGCACATCCTGTAGCGTCCCGAGACTTCCCATAGAATGGAAGAAAGCAGTAAGTGAGGCTGGATACATGTATTCCGAAGAGAACAGAGAAAATGGGCTTGAGCATGGCCCGAAGGCCAGTCCACAAGTACAAGGGCTAGACAAATCCTAAAGTGACCGCTGAACGTTAGGTAGTCACATAACCAAGGCATTGCACACCTTAATGTTAGGTTTACTTTAGCGTGAAATCAATGCTCTACATTTTACAATGGAACACCCTTTGGATCCTATAATACTTTGTGACCACATAACGTTTGGCGGTCACTTTAGGATTTGTCTGGCCCTTGTACACGTGGGTTGGTCTTCTGGCCATGCTCAGGCTCATTAGTCCTGTCGTCTTCAGAATGCCAGCATCCATCTGCACTTACTGACTTCTTATACCAGCCAGGAGGTCTCGGGATGCTACAGATCCGGCTTCCATTAATCAAGCGATATGCCTTTTGATAGTTCATACTGCAATGCACTAAAATTTGAGCTTCAATCGATTTTGCAGGTCAGCTGCAGGATATGCAGTTAAACATCGTATTGGATGTGTCGATTAACACGACTTAAGGCTCTCTTTGGGTCCTATCGCCTCCTCCGCTGGCATATTATTGCTCCGACCCCGTTAAGACGCCGAACAAAACTTTTAAAGTCTATGCTAATGCTTTCGTTTCCATTTTATCGCATAATATTTGTATTTTTAACTAATTCCTCTTTCGACTCCAAAGCAGAATAGGTCTTGTGAATGTAGTATCAGTCCAGGACTTTCCAATATGCAGAAGAAGGCACTAATTTGGGTTCATAACACATATTCCAGGCCGAGAAGAATGAATTAAGCTTTGGTTCGACCCGAAGGCCGTCCCACGCGTACAATAGCAAGATAAATGCTAAAGTAACTGTCAGCCACGCTGCACTACTTGTATGTCCGATGGTTACTTTAATAGTCATCTTGATCCTGTGAGCGTGGCCTGGCCTTTGGGTCTAACCAAAGCCCAATCCATTCTCCTCCTAGAGCATATGATATCGGCCCAAATTAATGCCTTTGTCCATCTAATTGGAAATCTCGGAGAGCTACACACACAGGTATTACAAAAGGGTTAGAGAGCTAGAAGGCCTATTTTTATCCATCGGGATGCATAGAGGAGGTACCTTATATGTCCAAGAACCTATTTTGAGGAGGTGGACAAATAATCGAAGTATCCTAGTCGTGTTAGCTTAGAAGCCTGCAAAGAAGTGTGCACTACTAAGCTATAAACGTTCAGAGGCTAGTTACATTGTCCAAAATCATGAAACAAATAGGTATCACAACCAAGGGGGCGGCGTGGTTTTGCAGTTCCTGTGGGGCACTGAGGTAGGTTTGTTTGACTACTGGTACCGGTTTCGGAATTGGGTGGGCATATTGAGTAGGTTGGCGTTTGGGCTTAGTCAAATGCTCAGTTTTCTTCCATTGTGCTTGACTAATTGTGTGCAAAACAAACTCTGTGACTTCAAATGTCAAATAGAAAGTCTCAGACTGCTATACAGGTGGCAGCAAGAAGCGAATTCGACTTTGTATAGATCCTTGTCACGTCCTTATCGCTTGTGATAATTTTTCGCTGTGCAGTTGAAATGCCTATGCTATGAAAAAATAGGCGGTTCGTTTGACGCGGTAGTGCATTGCTACTGGCGAATGCCCTTTGACTAAGGCACAGAAAGTCGTTTTCTTAGGCTACGACGTGTCTGTGGGTTGAAAACATCAAGTAAGAAGTGTTTGGTTTTTGTCTTTCAACAAGGAATCTTACTTACTTACTTTGGATGATGGAAGTGAGCATTGAAAGGTCCTTACTGAAATCCAAGTAGAACTGTAACGTCTTACGCTTTAAGCATCTAGCCGCTATTGTCTCCTATACTGGATCATCCCCGCGTACAAAATACGTCCATCAACAAAAGCGCAAACCATTCAAGCTCATTTTACCAAAAGATGGGAACTGTTACTTCAAAAATAACTTTGTGAAATCATAAAAACTTGTGCGAACGCAATTTGTGGTCGTTTCTCACTCATTATTTACCTCCATACCAAAGATTGTAGATTTGTTATAATTTTATTTAAAAATTATTACAAGATCGAAGTTAGGCCTCCAATGCTCTGTGCGACCAACACCAAATAAGTTGCAGTGTGAACACTAGCCCCTGTACTGAATACAGAAGCTCACGCCCTCCATCCCATTCAAATGCCCACTACGTAGCTGTCCCTCGAGTCCTTGGGCAGATTCATGCCTCGACGATCAGTTTCGCTGTAGATAGAAAAGTAATGAGTGCTGTACAAACTCGTTTCATCTAGATCCTTCTAAGCATGATGAACTCATGATACCCACCTGATTACTCTGTCCTTGAAAAGAAAGCCTAAAATTTAGCTCTAAAACCTCATTAACAAATCATAAAGGCAAGCAAGTTTAGGACAGTTAGAGCGCAAAAACCAAATTTTATCTGGCCTATCAGCGCTTACATTTGAGGCGGTGGTGATAGCAGTGCTGGTTGCTGCGAATCATGGAGCTGGAGTGCCTGAGGGAAGTGGGAGGTGGTTGAGGGAATGGTGGTGGGTTGCGGATGACATTCCTTATACTGCGACTTCTTTTTACGACTGCGTCCAGATCGTGGCCGGACGCGCTGCTCGTCGACAAACTTGCGACAGCGTCTTATGGAGGAGCCATTTTCGAACATTCCTGTGGCACCTTCGTGCAAAGTCCAGTAGGCGCCCTTGCCTGTCTCTCCGGGTGGTCGTGGTACTTTCGTGAAGCAGTCGTTGAAGGAGAGAGCGTGGCGAACCGAGTTTTGCCATCTGGAACCAAGTACAGACAAGAGCCTCCTTTATGCATTTCGACCAGTGAAAAACCTCTGCTTCTCTTTTGGCCTTGATTGCATCTGTCAACTCCCCTTAGACTAAGCCATTCTTGCACTAGGAATGAGAGGAAATTTGGGTTCAAAAATGGCATTGCTCCTCCAGACACAGGCATGAGATTTTTTCAAGCATTAATATCGAACGGAATTGTATGTGTCTGTAAAGCTCAGTAAGCGGTCGAGCATTTCAAATTTGTGATTAACTTTCTATGCGTATTTCCTGCATCACCGTCAGAGGCTTTTATGCAAGCAACTGTGCTTTGACTTGCTTGCCAAGAGAACGACACGGCTATAATGGGATCGGAATGTCAAAAAGCCCTCATCTGAAAGAATCCCACAGAAAAAAATCTATGAAGAGACAATATTGTGCTTTTAGGCAGGTTACTATTGTTTACAGGTCAGGTGAAAGAGAATTTCAGACAATTTTATAGCAACCACATTCGCTCTTATTTGATAAGGGCTCCTAAGACTGTGGGCTCTCGATGGCACGGCTCCAAAGGAACATTTTTCTGACATATCTACTCTCATGCATTGCTATGCCGATTTCACCAAGAAATATGAATCGCACTATTTTCATTTACAACTGGGTGCCAGTTCATTGACCATGCGATTTTACGGTACTCAGAGGACAAGAATATTTGAAGTAAAGCTTTGCAGGGCAAGGTCCATTGTCGCTTGGATCTGTGGCAACTTTTACAACTATCCTCTTGCTTAAAGTAGGGGTGAATGGGCTACAGTAACGGATAGGTGGTTACTTTATGCCCACAGAAGAGGCTTACGTGTTTAAGAACGAAAAACCTATTCAGGTGACCTGGAAACATCGAAATGAGCATAGTCCAATTTACGGTCTTGAAAGGTAAACCTAAATATTTAGAGGGAACTTAAAATTCTATTTCTGCTATAATTTGCAACACTACCACCATCTAAGCTTCTAAACACTAGTGAGAAACCAAAATTCACTACAAATTTAAAGAAAACAGGAAGTGGGGATAAATTGGGACTGAGCTTTTTTGTTACACCTTCATGATCTGATTTACTACGGATAGGAAGATTTTGTGTCAGTCGGCTAAACGGAGCGCCAGACCCAGTGACATCACAGAGCGTGTGTATCGAGCTTGTGACGCGCACACAGGCTTATAGAGCAGCACAGCTGAGGGAGGAAAGGGTGGAGGTGGAGGCAGTTTACGACTTCACTACACTCAGGCTCAAGAAGATGGGGTGAGGCAGAGGGTGAGGGGGAAGACACATGCGCCGGTGAGACCCTTTGACAAAGCGAACACTACCTGTTCGAGCACCCGGCTGACATGGCAGATGTAACAATTTAACGCGCCGGCTTCTTACTGGCTCTGTAGTTTCGTCCAATCACGTGGGAGCATTTGGCGAGGAGTAGCACAGCATTTTGGCTCAGTTAAAATGAGCACTATGCGATCGGTTGAGAGTATGAATTTTTCAGAACATCTAACCCTGCAATGGCAACCTTTTTGCTCCACAAATGTGGGACCTCGTAGCACTATTCCTTATTGTTGAGCCATTGAGATCCTAGCGAGTCGATTTTCCAAAAGCCAATTCAACTTAAAACTTTTACTTTGTTCACTTCATCACTCCGCAACACGGCACAAAAGTTAATGCTATTTCTTTTATGAGCTGAAGTTATTAGTAACGTCCATTATTACCAAAAGCATAAGAAAAATCGTAGTGTCAGCACGGCGGTCTTAGTGTTGGAATATCTCCGTCTCCACCAGTCTTAATCAAATGACCGAACCTTAAAATCAGTTAAAATTTGGAAGTACTATTTTCGCAATTTATATTCGCCAAAAGCACATCTTCAAACTGTTTTTCTCGTGTAAGTTTTGGGACTTTTGAGCAAACGCAATGTGAACTTTACCTGAAATTTTAAGGAAACAAGAAGTTGTCTACCGTGGATAATGGTACAGATGACGCTCAGAAAGAAGAGGTTGAGCAGTATCAGTTGTGACAAATAGGCTATCCTAATGACAATGGTTTTGAGGAGCAAGCATTCTAAAGACATTTCCACGTCTTTGAAGCCGATGATTCGATTAACAAAGCCACTCGCAATGACTAACCTCTTGGTATTTTTCCTGTAGTACGCGAAGTGGTTCATAATCCAAGCATAGATTTCGCTCAGCGTGGCTCTTTTCTCTTTATTTGACATCATGGCAGACACAATGAGAGTGATGTAAGAGAAAGGCGGTTTCATGCTTCCGTCCAACTGATACTCCACTATCTTCGGCTGCGCGAAGCCTCCACAGACAATCGGCACGGGAGACGCTTCTACTGTACTCATGTCAACACCCATTCCTTCAAATGATTTTGCATGTTGATTTTGCTGATGTGAATTGTGCAATTGCTGGGGTTCCACTTGCGTATAGATCCGCTGCTGTTCTGGTTGTTGCTGCTGTTGCTCCTGATATCGAGGATCGGCATAGCTGTAGTCTGAATGTGGAATGTCCGTTGAAACACCATCCCACGAAACCTGTTCTTGAGCCTGAGGCCACATATATGTGGGGAGCGAAGACTCGTACTGAACGTAGTTTGTATAGACGGGTGGTTGAGCATCAGGAGTCGATGTAGTGTACGTGGGGTAGTAGGATAGTTCTCCCGCCTCCACTTCTAAGCCCGTATGCTGTGGCAGAACTGGCAAACTGGTGGTCATAAAAGCTGTGTCGTTGACTTCGCCACTGATGGCGGTGGTGGTGGTGGTGGTAACGGTGGTAGAGGGGATTTGCTGAGCGTCCGAGAATTCGGTGTATTGAGGGAAGTAGTAGTTTGAGCTTGAGGCGTGAGTAAACATGGTCAGAGAGGAGAGTAAACCTCTGTCACCACCCTCAAGTCGAGTGTTGGAGGCCTTAGGTGTGCGCTCACGCATTCTCCTCACGACCAATCAGGCTTCAGTGCGCGATGCTGTGCGTTTGGTCTCAATCGGGGAGGAGAGGAGTTGTGCGCCTGTGCCACCCTTAAACGCTGAACTATGCTAGTGTTTGTGTACCTAAAGCGATTCATTTGCGGTTAGAATTGACGTTAAATACAAAAATCCTGAAAACTAAGGGCGTTCTTTTTGAAATGCACGCCATTATTTCATGATAACTGAGATTGAGATGCCTTTTGTCATATCCAAATATCAAATTATCTTCTTAAGTTACACTGTCTTTCAAACCAATTAACGCAGGTGCACGTTTCGTTCATTGGCGAGTAAAATGGTCACAGATACTACTAATAACAATTGGTTGAATTAGCTCATTTAATAATTGGAGTCTACATTTGACAGCTTTGAAACAATCAAGCAATGCAATCATATCAAGTGATCCCTAAACAGCATCACTTGCTTCTTCAATTCCAAGGGCAGATTCAATGAAACTTGCTTTTTAGGTCAAATGTGGTCTATTACATCCCCCATGGAGACATTTTCACTAATTTGACGTTTCCGCTTCTCAGGACGCTCAAGACTCGATCAGTTCTGTTATAAGAAGGAACTTTATTTACCGCAATTTTTTGAGACTTACTATCAGCTAAGCGTTCTGTCATGGACCGGTATTGTTCCGTTTTGTGAAAGTAACCTTCATGAAGGCCATTAATATCCTGAAAACTTTGATGCCGTGGTTGGCCTCAAACTAAACAACTCGTCTTTTAGTGCCTGGCATAAGCCAGGATCATAGTTAAGGCCTTTTATGATCACAATTGAGGTCTGCAGACCGGCGGCACATTTGATGGCACCACTAAACTCAGAATCCTGCCATTTGATTTCGTTTAATGTAGATCGTACTCAACTGACCTAAGCCTCACGTTAGGCTAAATGCCCAACCTAAAAATCAACTGATATTTTGTATTTGCTTTACGCGTAACAAAATTTAGTGCTCGTATGCAAACAAGATCCCACGATGATTAAATAAAGCAGCAAAAACGAGTGCACTATTTTGATTCAGGATGGGAAGAAATCTCGCATACCTCAGAAGTTTCTTTAGAATGGATCCTCTGTTTTTGGCATCACTTGGAATTTGCGCCGATACTGACGTCCGACCGCTTCCATAAACTACACCTCTTTTGCAAAATAGCGGATCTTTGACTAAACCTCGATAATTTATATACTTTGGAAGAAATGCTTCGAATGAACGCATAAATGATACAATGAATGTGTGAGGAAATGGGTACTGCTTTCCAAATCCATTTATTAGCTATAAAAGTTGATTCTCGCATATTTTACTTTGCACTCCAAGGGCGAACAAAGGATAGGGTAGCTGCAGAGGAATCTGTGCGAATAGGTTTATAAGTCAACGAAACAACCATGAAATGCGTATCAATACATTGTCAGTAGCAAGCCCAATTGCGCGAACTTCAGCAGCCAGCTTAGGCGCGACCCTATTCCGGCGCCAGCTTCAAAAACACATGCGTCATACAACTTCTATCACAAAATGTGATTTAGTCAGGATTTCATTACTCAATTTGAGCTTGGTTCCCGTTTTTTAAAAACCGACATTGGAGTGCCGTACAACTTCCGAGGCAGTGAAAAATTGGTACCAGTCTCCACAAGCACCCAATGTCTGAACCATCCCTAAGTGAACTGATAAAGGAAGCAAAGGGTGATATAGTCAGAATGACACATGGAAACGTGTGACAATTCGATCACCCCTTTTCGAAAAAGGCAAATAGAGGGAAAGAAAATTAAAAGCATACCACAAATATGGGTGTTGTTCGGTGTCAATGTTCTTCCTCTGCTATTTTAAAGGTTGGTTAAGACATTTCGAGAACCACCCAAACACCTTTGCATGAACCTGTAGCGCGCTAGCCCTTCTCAGGAGACAAGGTCCTCGGAATCCCAGTTGCAGCACTCATTTATGAGACCCCTTGGTAGTTTTTTTAAGAGTTAGCTAACTTGAAGGCTCTGCGTCACCATTTGAAGTGTCGAAGCAGATCGAGGCCAGATTCGAATCCCGCCTAAGGTAAACACTGATGTTGTAGAACTAATTTTGAAATCAGACCTCAATGAACGTCATAGTCACTCAAAATAAATTACGAACCGGAAAACCGCTTCAGACATATAGAAAGGGACATCAATTAAGTGGAACGAAAATCAGCAGAGTATTAAGGTGTTTTGGCGAATCACAGCCAGATATTAATAGTTAGAGTTAATACATTATTATTTCCTCTGACTAGATGAAACTAAAACAAAAGAGTTTCCTAAAAAAATAGAGAAACCCTGGTTCAATCAACTCATTTCTAGTTACAAACCCCATTATCAACGGTTGCATAAGGTGGCGCAAATCCGTGTCGAAGCATAACCATAACCACTGAATTACAACATTTCACATGAGTAATTGCTAAAGAAAATCAGCCACTACCTAACGTAGGTGACAAACAAAACGTCTAGCCTAAGCTAATGTGGACACCTCAGTGACCTCTCGGGAGATGCCATCACAGAGGGGCTCAATTAGTATAAGGCTACTATTTTATGAACGTACATGAAAAACCGAAATTCGAAGGCGCTAACCCAAGCAATGAAAAAGACAGCTGAACAACGAAAAGCAACGCCAAACAAGCCTGTACTTCATGTGAAGACGTAAATGTCTCTAGATGGCCACATTTCTTCGACTAAACCCTTCGCCCACTCATTTTCATGACAAATCTACCAATGACAGGAGCAAAAAACTTAGAGTACACTCTGAAGTAGTTGAATCTCAGAAAGCATAAAGCATCGCGTTAAAAAATCGAAGGCATTTATTTGAACTTCAATTTTCTAAAGATAAGCAACAAGAGAAGAAGAAATCGGTACATCACAACTTTTACATAGGATTACGATCAAAAGGAAAAGGAAATCACCAAGATAATCCGCAGTAACGGCGCTTGATATCGTTGGGACGTGAACAAATAAAGTCCTGTATGGGTTCTTCTCAAGAGAGCTAAAAAGTAAACAGATTACTAGAACAAATAAAGCATTGCATACATAAGGAAAGAAGGTCCAACAGAAATTGTGAAGCAAGCTAATTTACTGCAAATCAACCAGCGGGTTACGAAAAACAGTTGCAGACGCCTTAAATTCTTCGATATAATGCGATTAACATAAGAACAAAGTATTGGGAAAGCAGTAAGCTAGTTAAAAAAGCAGCCCACCAGCGGTAAATATAGCTGCAGAGGAAACAGCCAGGATCCGTCGAAATATCACACTTGAATCCACGAGATCGAAGGAGAGCACAAGGTTCATCAAGGGAGAGTTTTGTAGAGATTTGCCTGTCACAAAAGAGCTGACAAGGAAGGCAACCGTCATCTGCCATCATATAGGGTCCGGATCCCGACTGACTTTCCAGACTGATTGTCGAGGAAAAAGCGCTAACCCCAACATGTACAACCAGATCCTGAAAGTAGAATCATTCGCAAATTACGAGAATAAGATGCAAAAAGACTTCCACACAAACCTTCCTCTCAATGGTTTAAAAATACATGCCACTCCCACGCCTAAATAAAAAGAGGAAATGATCACTAAATTAATCTTCTCAAGGTTAACATAAATTTTATCGAAGGCAACAAACATATGTGAACAAACCGGTTTAAGGTCATCCCAAATGTGGGAAACGATTTTGTCCACTGCTTTGTATGAAACTTCAACATTTGGCAAAACAACAAGCTCAGGAAAGAACTTTGTATGAGATACAATTTCTTCCCACTTTGCCTGCAAATTCAGGACGGCAGTTGTGCTGCTATTGACGGAAATACCACCAAACGGACCAAAGCCCGTTACAACGACCTTGGACTGGGCATCCATATGAATCGTAAGGCAAAAGATGCGGCCCTGTAAAACAATCTTTTTGAATGACTCGTAAAATCAAATATTCATTTAGCATGCAGCAAGTGTACGGAGATCATAAAAAAGAAGTAACGCGACAGAATATCGATGTTGGTCGATGAAGGTTCTGTCGTTTTATCCATTGCAAACTTTAAAAAATGCAATTTGTGTGGGCGCTCAGACTCAAAAAACTCTCTGAGCATTTATTAAGGCTGAAAATCCAACATGCAATGTATGGTAAACATGTTCTTAGTAGGCAGGAAGGTGGAAGTTCATTTCGAAGTCTATGTTGGAGGAGCACGAAGACTTACGAAATACATCGCTATAGACGCTCCCCACTTAGATCGGTTTCCCCGATTTGCTTGTACCCCATTAGTAATGCAAATAAATCTTTGCAGAACAAAAACCCTTGTGAAATCTAAGGTAAAGGATTCAGAGAGGGAAGAAATGATGGTTAAACCATGTTTATTGGGGTACCTGCACAAAACTGCAGTAACTTCGTTAACATTTTGTTTCTAACGTGTGCGCTGGCATTTGGTTTCCTCTTATCGAATGAGGAGACTTAAGGTGCTACTGAGGATTACATGTTTTACAAATGTGTAGCGCCTAAGCCAAAAAACGCATGCTAAGAAATATATGGGCAAAGTGTATAACCTTTTTTTGACCACCTGTAGGAATGGCGACCACTTCAGGACCTAGCATGTTCTTATTTGCATAGACTCGTCCTTTGTCCAAGCCAAAGTCCAATCCCGTCTCCCGTCTCTCTTGACTCCAGTAAAAGTCATGTGCGGCTTTAAGACAGATGGACGACATCAACACCATCTTATCCACTTGCTCTACTGGTGAGCTAATAACAAGCGATTCAGCGCGTCCAAGAACCATACAGAAAAGTATCCTTATAAATCGCGATATAATTGCGCTGAACATCATTCAACTAAGGACCATATTTAAAACATTTTTTCTCTCAAATGCCTGTTTTACATCCATGTTCAAATGTCTAGTCTCGAACACACTTTATGTGCAACACACATCCCACCAGGTAGAAAAAGGCATTAGTTCAAGCTGAATGCATGTATTATAAGAAAAAGATTAAGGATTAAGCCCGAACTTAGCCCGAAGCCCAGTTCATGCCTACAAGGATCAGACAAATGCCAAAGTAACCACCAGATATCAGGTGGTCGCATCAATGAAATACTACGATCTCCGCACATAATTCTTGTACCACAACCAACCATAACTCCAGATCCAGCTGAGGACGTTGAGAAGATTATGTGCATTCCTTTAGTCTCATGCGAATAACTGAGTGACACGGTGTGCTCGCTTCATGCGATGGCTAGCATAAAAGTTATACCCACTAGAGCGCTACGTTTGTCACTAAAAGCGTAACATAATTTCTTTTTATTTAATTATTGCATATCTGGTGGGCACTTTAATATTTATCATGCTCTTATATGTAATGCCTTGTTTAAGTGAAAACCTGATGTCTGGAAAAGTTTTGAGTCGGAATTTTTCTTACAAAATGACACTACGGTTCTCCTTATATGTGGAACAGTGGCTCATCTCGTCTTCCCTGTAACGCTTCAGACTTTCACCGTCTAGACCTGAAGCAATTGATAGTCAACAGACGTATGCGGCCTCGAACCTGGATGTCAGGCCGACCGTAACTCCAGACCCAGTTGAAGCTGTCGGAGAGACCAGATACGGTTCCTCAGTCTTATGCTATCTGTCGACTGACGAGGTTGGCTCGTGGGTGCTTTCTTGTATTACGAGAGGAGAGCGCCTAGGACGTCGCTTAAAGAAAGGGAATGGCAGTAGAATGCCTTGTTTGTTACCACTGGACGTTTGGCGGTCACTTTAAGATTTGCCTGTTAGCGTCTCGAGACCTCCTGGCCGGTATAAGAAGTCAGTAAGTGCAGCCGGTGTATTACATATTAGTTTGGTTAAGTGTACTTTAATAGTTGAGAGGCGGGAATCAATTGGATACGCGAATCACCTGCGTGAAGCCGCGAAGAGTCTCCCTCCAATTGATATCTCCTACTCGCATCATCCGCATCCAATTCCCCATCCTTCCTGATAACAAATGCCCAATGAATCAATTGCAACTAACCGTCTTCTGAAGTCTGAGGTTCAGGGACTAGAGGGTAGACAGGTAGTTCTTACAGCCGGATACATGTATTTTTGAAGACGATAGGACAAATGGGTCTAGGCATGGCCCTAAGGCCAGCCCACATGTACAGGAGTCTGACAAATCCTAAAGTGACCGCCAAATGTCAGGTAGTCAAATAATCAAAGCATTACAGCCTGGCCATGCTCAAGTCCATTTACCCTGTTGTCTTCAGCTTCACTTCCTGTCTTTTTCCACCCGGTGAGAAGTCTCAGGGCGATACATACTCCTCCTTGAATGTATTCGGTTAGCTATACTTAATGCACTATCGTCCCAAGGCTTTCCATAGGGTGGAAGACGGCATAAGTGAGGGTGAATACATGTATTCGAAAACGACAGGGCTAACGGGACCTGAGCGTGGCCCGAAGGCCAACACCTGTGTACAGAGGCCAGACAAAAGCTAAAGTGACCCCCAAATGTCAGGTAGTCACATAAACAAGGCACTACAAATGCCTTTTGCTATTCATTAAGTCTCTAGGCGAGACTTAAAGGGGTTAATATGTTACGTTAGTTGTGTCTAGCGGTTTTTGTGATTCGTCTGACCCTTGTAAACGTAGGTTGGTCTTTAGACCAAGTTGAGGCTTAATCCATCCTTACCCTTTTAGAATACAGTCAAATGTAGCACCTTCTTATACATGGTTCGAAGCATCGAACTCTACAGCTGGTATTCGCAGGAAAGTCAAAAGTGAAACTCCTCGGCCAAACGCAACCGCAAAACATAACAAGATGTTTGTAGTTAAACTTGTTGCGAAGTTGATATCGTATAGCTGTGTAGCATTTCTACAGCTAATTCAAGAATGATTTGTTGCTTATTATTCTTTAATTGCTTTAGTCCTTTACACAACATACCTAACATTCAACCAAAACCGGATTTCCACTTTCATCAAATAAAATACTATGCTGAATAACTTCACAAGATACCACAAAATCATCCTTTTATTGTCTGTGTCAGGATCTTTTAATCAACTGTCGGCGCTTCCGTTAAGTCACTCGATTTTGCTGATATGGTGAGCGTGGTCTACTCCTAGGGGTTTGTATTTGTCGCTCTTAGTAGTCAGGTTTGCCTCATTAGTAGTCTTGGGTCTTCTTATATACACGACAGTAATGCTGCTACAGAAATGTGTTTTTACATCTGTAGGGCCTCGTTAAAGTTACAAAGAATAAGGCCTACTTCAAGCGATTCCAGGTGAAGTTTCGTAGGCGCCGCGAAGGGAAGACTGACTACTACGCCCGAAAGCGTCTTATTTGGCAGGACAAGAATAAATATAACACACCTAAGTATAGGTTTGTCGTCCGGTTCACAAACAAGGACATTGTGTGTCAGGTACATTAATCTAACCTCATGATTTTTAAAGATAATTTATGCCTGCATGGACGGGGATCGCGTTATGGCTACTGCCTATTCTCACGAGTTACCTCGATATGGTGTGAAAGTCGGTCTTACTAACTATCCAGCCGCATATTGCACTGGTCTTCTTCTGGCTCGTCGAGTTCTTAAGAAGCTGAAGTTGGATGGTATGTATCAAGGGCAGACTGAGGTCAATGGCGAAAACTACCTTGTTGAATCAAATGAGAAGCGAGGAGCGTTTAAGTGTTTCTTGGATGTTGGTCTTCGCCGTACCTCCTCTGGTGCGAACATCTTTGGAGCCCTTAAGGTAATCATCCTATTTCGTACTTGCATTGTAGGGAGCCGTTGATGGTGGTTTGAATGTTCCTCATAGTCCAACACGATTTCCTGGGAACGATTCTGAGTCTGGGGAGTATAATGCGGAAGCTCACCGCGCTCGTATATTCGGCCAGCATATCGCCGAATACATGCGCTCATTGAAGGAGGAGAGTGACGATGCCTATAAACGTCAGTTCGGCGCCTATTTGAAGCTCGGAATTGGGGCGGATGACATTGAGCCCATGTATCAGAAAGCCCACGCGGCCATTCGTGAGGATCCTTCGTACACGAAAAAGGAGAGGCCGGCTGTGAAACATCGGAGGTTCAATAGAAAGAAATTGACCCTAAAGGAACGTCGGGAACGTGTGCGCCAGAAGAAGGCTCATTACCTTTCTCAGCTTCAAACGGACTTGGCTGTTGTTGGAGCTTAAAATATATTGGTACTTGACGAGGGACCTCTCTTCTTTCTCGGAAAAACTGATGTTTGCAATTTAGTCAACGCTGATGGGTTTAGTGGCTTCAAAATACTTTTTCCTTGTGATCTGGATGCTTTGGGGAGCTGTGCTCCTGCGTGGATGTTAGTTCCCGCGATGTTGCGGGCGTCCAAGTTTTGAATGTGGACTTTGTAGGTGTCTGTCGCCATCTGAGGCGGTGTGCGGTCGCCTATTGAAGTTGGGATTCACGGTGGGGGTGTCCTCTGATCTCGTATCGGGTGAGGCGTCGTTGGCAGTTGGAGTCAATGACTGGTTTTCTGACGGTGTGGTTTGCTGCAGCGCAATGGAACCCTAGGGACGACTGAATGGGGTGATTGTTGGTTGGAGGATCTGGCTGAGCGAGTGTCGAGCCATCTCCTAATGGGCTTAACTGACGAATATAGCTGTCCTGGGGAGGTGAGGGTTGGGTCGCCAATCTGGAAGGAGGCGAAGTTGCATGGGTGGAATAATTGGTGATGGACTACCTCCACGTGGTACCTTCCGTACTACTTTATAGCAAAGTTAGTCTGATGCTTGAAACTCCTTGGTTCAGCTGTTGTAATCAATTGCTTTGGCGCGTTTCTGATTCTGCGTTAGTACAAACGCTTTAATCGGTAGTCGTCAGCCTTCAAGATGCACTTTTGTTGCCATGTTTCCTCTGTATGCTACTGGTATACCTTCCGGCTTTTATGACCAGAGAAGATCCGGCACTTCGACTCAAAGGCAAGGGCAAGCATATCATTTGCGAAGGGGTATCTGCCCCACCTTACATTAGTTTCGTACTTTACTTTGATGCGACGGGTGATGTTTTGCCAATGGTGGATGACTCTTGCCGGAAAATTCGAAAGTTTCTCACTTCGGTGATCACACAATATATGTAAAATGAAATGTTTATTTCTGGAGCTCTCCGCGGTGCGTATGTAAGCAGAACAAATAAAGTGAACATGCAATACATCCTTCACGCTTCAGCAACAGAGCAACGCCAACGCCGATGTATATATGGGGTGACGAGCACTGAACTGACAACAGTTGACTCCAAACCCTAGTGCAATGCTAATATTTGTAATCTAATCCTTTAATAAGTGACTGCTTTTAGGCGAGTGTTAATGCCAAAAGAAAGTTATCTACTCTTGACCATCTATTTAAGTGGAGAAGTTTATAAGGAAGACGCACTTACATAAATGTAGTCCAAAGTATGTAAGCGAAAAGTCAAGCCTGGAGATATTTTCGAAATTCCTCGGTAGTAAGAACATATGTACTCAATGCTACACTCATATTCGACTACCAGCACGAATGTGGCAAGTGGTTTCACTGAACGCTACGTTCTCTTAAGCATTACTGCGGGCCGGGCATAAGGAGCGTTAGAAAAGCTGTTCAAACTAAGAGGATCCATTTACAAATTTAAGCTGGTTGACCAAAAATATGTCCATTTAGTTACTTGAATCTCCACCGCCAGGTGGAGTGATGAAAGGTCTCTGTAACCATACTGTGCCTCCCTGATTGGCGGTTGATTTTGTCACATTACTCTCCATGTCAGTGAATGGGCACCAAAACCTATTCATGGCATTATTACCCTTAAATCGATCATGTCCCAGAAGTCCCAGAAGTAGCTAAAAATGAATCCTTAAACAGACTAAATTACTAGTACCTTGTTTATTTTAACTGCTTGTGTAGTCACTTTGGCAACCACTTTGCTTCTGCTACTTGGACTAGTCTTCGAGCCATGACATAATCCCACCTCTGCCTTTCTTTTTCAATGGAAGTATTCAGCCATGCCTAATGGGGTTGTTGCACTTGGTGAACCTTAACTAGGGTACAACTTCAGTCCTGATTTGCACTGTTTTCAACATGCTTTTCGATATGAATGAAGTGCATATTACTTCGGAAGAAAGAATCTCTAGCTTTTTCATAACAGAAGGGCTGAGAACAGCGCCCATGATTGACACCTGCTCCATCCTTGAATTTCAGTAGCAATATATTGGCAAATGAAGGGACATCTCTAGAGCCATCTGGAGAGGTTTCTTTCCTAATTTTCCCCTACCTCATCGGCGCGTGGGTGTCGGCGATAAAATTACGCTAAACCATGCCTTTAATGTATCCGCTTTGGATCAGTGTTTTAAAGACTTTTCCTGGACATATTTGATGGCCGGCACAAGTTCCCGTCCCTTATTCCTGCTTTTGGACTGAAGATAATTCTATATCTAATCAGAACTACTGAAAAGGTCGGATACAATCCCTCAACTTCATTGGAGCTCATGATCAGCGCTTCCGAATCTTTCTTTGCAGCATCGAATGCGTTATGGTGGTTGATACGAGTGGTGTGCCAAGGGAAGATCAGAAGACATCACTCACAAGGACACAGAAATACTTTGCTCATTTGACTATCTGTATCAAGAGTGGTTACCTTGACTGCCACCTTGATTATGCCTAGAGGGTAGGTATTGAGACCACTCATGGCCTACGCATACCTTTTCTTTCTGAGCGGATTTCACCTGTCATGCTCAATAAATTCTACTGCTAAACGAGAAGACTTGATGATGATTGTACTGCTTTGCTTATGTGACTACGTGACGTTCGGTGGTCACCTTAAGATTTGTCTGGTCCCTATACGTGTGGGCCGGCTTTCAGGCCATGTCCAGGCCCATTTGCCCTGTCCTCTTTGGAGTGCATGTATTCAGCTTCACTTACTGCCACAATGATTTTGTAGGCATTCCAATATAAAAACAATCCAAAGGGATAAAAGTACACCCAGGCAATCCAGGCCAAGCCAAGCAAGGGTTATTGCATCTCACTTGCACGGCGTTCGGATTAGGTTTGCGTGTTCCTCTTACAAAGTGTAGGAAATGTTTGCCTTCCCTTATACCCTGGAACCACGGACTTCAAGAGAGGGCTAATTACAGTTGATTTATCAGACATTGAATACAGGAAGGACGGGGATAAGAATACAGATGAGCCGAATAGCAGATATCACCCGGAGAGAAGTTCCTCACGATCCTGGCGCACCGGATTCGCGCTCGAATTCGCTTCTGGACTCTCCTTTTAAAGGTCAGCTAAAACACTCTAGTATACATTACACAAAGAAACGTTTAAACATCTAATAGGTATTACATAACCCTCTCTTGTTTTGAGCACAATTTGTAATATACACACTAATGTTATCAAGTTGTCCTTGTAAAAGATAGGCAGCTGGTCACTTCTTATGAAGTCGGAGGTTCAAGTGTCTGAGGTTAGGTTAAAAGATCCTACACCGTTTTTTTGGCGCAAACCAGTGGTCTGCCTTTAGAGCTATTTGGAATGCGAATCCCCTGCGTGAGGACTGCGAGGAATCTCTCCGCGTGGCATCGGATATTCGACTCATCTGTTCTCCTATACCCCATTCTTCCCGTAATCAATGCCCAATAAATCAGCTGCAACTAATCCTCTCTTGAAGTCCGTGGTTCAGGGGCGTGAGAGTAGGATGGCAGTTCCTACAAAGGTCATCAAAACGGCTTTGTAATGCATTGTTTATGTTACCACATGACGTTTGGCGGTCATTTTAAGATTTTTCATGGCCTTCGGGCCATGCTCAGGTATATCTGTCATGTCGTCGTCAAAGTGCATTTATTCAACTGCACTTACTAACTTTTATACCGGCTAGGAGGACTCAAGATAATATAGATTTCTCTTCTTCCGTGAGTGTGCAGGTCTCCTCGATGTAGCCTGTTTAAGCGCGCCAGTATATGTGCAAAGCTTGTTATGATGGACGGTTAATGGTGGGTAATCCGTGGACAAAATAAACTCAATGCTACATGGTAAGGGACTTGACTCCAATGGTGATAGAATTTCTGAAGCGTTCCTGGTGGAGGAATAGGCTTTTACGCCTAAACCAGACTCCTCCTCTCGTAAACGTTGGTGCTAACCTGCTTGTCATCGGACCTCTTCCACAGACTATGTATTCTGGGCAGTATTAATTTTTTAATAGTTTATTTTAATAAGAAAACGATAATTGTCCGCAAAATTTTTCCGAGAAATTTGCTAATGTTTTAAATTGCAATCTCAGCTTAACTTTTAAATTGGGTAATTTACTTAAAATTTAGTTTTAATTTATAAGTACACTTGAACGACACGGCGACAAGTACGCACTTTTTTGAAATGCTCATAATCTCTTTGGTGCTGCCTTTCATTGGTATATGTTACTTCGTTCCCATATTTTGCGCAATCTTTCCCAAAGCTGCTATTCCGCTTATTTATCTTCACTATTGTAAGTATCAGACCGCAACGAAATACTAAGTTTGCACTGTGCTTGCATCGAAAGTCCATGGAGTGAAGTCATGCCCAGTAGCACAAAAACTATGCCATCTTTTGCAAAATCGAACGTTTTGTTATTTGCGTATGATTGAGTGATTTTTACGGTAATACATCTTGGAGTACATAAAACAAGCGGGAAATTATGCTTATTGTAAGCGAAGCCATGTAGTTTAACTATTGTTGATTCTTAAAATGAATATGGCATTTTGCTATATTTACTCATTGACTTTTAGTGCAGTTTTTAGGAAACCAAAATTTTAGCGACTTTTCTTCGTTCGGAGTATCGAGCGATGCTGCATCCAATTTTTATATTCAATCAGAATTAGATGGAACACTTCTTGGAACGTGGTGCGTTTCGGCAACGTGTTTTTTCGGAGTTAAAATATGGTTGTTAGTATCTTACTCCTCGATTTGCAGCATCATAGCGTCCGTTTCACTCTACGTTACCTTCGGCGCGTGGTTAGATTTTCATGCAGTTTTAGCATTTTGATTACTTCGAAAGCGATCAATTATAAACAAATCTCTAACCCCAAAAATATTAGCTTTTATAATCAGAAAACAAAGCAAGATACGCCTTTGCAGGCATATTCGACCCAATGCAACAGACGAATTATGTGGCGAAAATTACGGTGCGATTAACGCGAGTGGTATCAGTGATAGAGCCCCCATCTTTCTGTATCTTCATGGCATGGGCTTTAATAGGGCTTATCCGCATAGAGTTGAGGTGTACAAACTCTTATCTCGTCTCGGGTTTCACGTCATGACAATCGACTACAGAGGTTGGTGAAGATTTTCATTAATTTTATCGTTAACCTTTTAATGACTTAAAGTTTTTCATTTTTATGCTCATTACTCAGTAGGCACTGCAGGGAACGCATTTTATTATCCTGTGTTTGAATCCTGATGGTAGGGCTTTTACATGGATGAAAGTGGACTTGTGTGTTTATCCTTTCATTGCTTTCCCAAAGATAGTTCTTTAATGGAATATCCCTAGTTGATGTATGCGTTGTGTATACGTTACCTAAAAATATTTATTTATGGACCATTATTTGTGGTTCAACGATTATAGAGCTTGTGCTTCTTTGCAGTTCGCTTTATAATAACTGTCTAGACATCTCCAATAAACTATGCAAAACAGGCTGATTAGTACCGTTAGAATAAACTGTTTAGCCTTTCCAATTACTTGGTTTCATCTTACTTAGCGCTTCATTTAGTTAAGAATTCTAGGCCTGTCTTGATTATTTTGTGGTGTGCATACTTAGGTTTCGGAAACTCCGGTGGTTCGCCACAGGGTGAGGCAGACATTGTAGCAGACGCTATCTCTCTTTTGCGTTACGCTCGCGAAATGGCACCCCACTCCCCCGTATTTGTGTGGGGTAGCTCTCTTGGAACAGGGTAAACTCGTTTCTCACTCGCATGAATGCATTTAAACTCCAACTCTGTTATGGTTTGATGTAGTTAAATAATACTTGACTTGGAAATATGGGAAAATCACCGGAATCTCACAAGAAAGCATTCGAATTACAGGTTTTATAATGTTTTCTTTGCCCAAAATACATATGACAAATTAAAGTAATAGGTCTTGTTAAGTTTTTTTAAACTAGGCCTCTATGACAATTGGAGCACCAATGTATAGTTATGGTTTAGAATTGCATTTTCATGAAGTGACGTGGTTTTTCCGCATCACATTGCGAGGCCTGCAGTTAGGGTAACTAAGCTATTCATAATTAAATTTTAGCAGACTGATTGAGCATAATAGAAAATTCACAGCGTTTTTCAACGCTGAATCCGGTTTTAAGCTGCCGATAGAACCTTGTTGTTTCGCTTAAAAAATGCGAAAAAAACCTACAGAATGCGTAGGTCTTAACGGTAATGATTACAAATGAAGTGTACCTATGTACAAATCCCAAGTTCCCGGGACCGATTTACTGTGTGTTAGTTTATTGTTCCAACTATTTACGATTACGTAGGGCATAAAACTTGCTCCAGTTTTATATATTGGTCAAATAGCTCGGACAGAATTCCCCATGCCTAAATTACGCTGAAGTGAATGAGTATGGTCGCCACTCAAAATTTCTGTGAAATGGAAATAAACTATTATAGGTATGACTTTTAGGTAGCATCTTGCCATTGAGTTGAGTAAATTTGCCATTTTATTTCGTTTTCATGCTACCCACTTGGGGAACTAAACGCTTTGAGTATTAAAAGGCCGCCAAAGTTTACAGTTCAGCATGTATTGAAAGTCTTGGTGAAAAATTGGCCGCGAAGCCATTTTATTTCTTATTGAGTGATTTTTGAGGACAAACCACTGTTTTATTGGCTCATAAGTAAGTGATGCAATGAGCAGCAGCATTATGAAACGCTATTTTAATTTGATTCTAGACAACAGCCTAATAAAGGACCGATAACCACTTGGTAGACGTGGGAGCTATAGCAGAATAGATGTTAAAAGCACTTCCACAATTGCGAGTTGAACAAAACTGTGCAGGTCTCTCAACCTTAAGGATACCTACTTGTCGAATAGTTATATAATGTTGATCCACAAGAGAAGAGACACTCAAACTTCCCTCATATCGGTTCTGTTTTCGCACTACACATGGCTATTACCGCATCGACAAGAAGCATTCATACAAAGATACTCTAATGCTCGCCTCATGGGAATCTACTGCGCAGTTTGAATGCGGAATATGTGACTAAACCCTTGATTAATTATGCGTAAAACTTTTCCCATCCAGCCCTAACGACTGAGTCCTCAACCCCCTCTAGACTGAGTTTATTTGATAGCGTCTGGAAATTAATGCAGTCTGATTTACATCAACTTCTTGGCTTATGAAGTTAATTGCGATACGGAAGGCTTACAGTACATTCTACATTAACGCAGTACTGTTATGCTTGTTGACGTCTCAGTGAGAAGTGTGCTCCTAATCTTTGGGAATAACTGTCATCACAAGGCACACCCGATGAATTAACGTCAAGAAGCATTTTGTACTGCATATCGATGTTTTTGTCAATTAGTTTTAACGTAAAGTCCATAACAAACCTAGGAAGGGAGTGTTCGCGCTAAAGTACCACTTGCCTCCACTTTCACAGCATCATTTCTGAATTCACTTCTGCACTGTTAGGGTTCATCTATCTTGCTTTTGCCTCAACCTTAGAAGCCTAGTCTTTCCGGCTCTTGCTATATGGCATGATACAAGCATACTTCGTCAAGGGGGTTAATGTAGACTCTAGCATTAGTCAGAGAGCATTAATCCAACCATCCTGGAATCATTCTTCTCGACCTGAACTCATGATGAAATGGAGATTGTTTTGCAGCCAATTGGCAGTTTACATGGTTCAACTAGGCGAAATAGCGAGAGATTGTTGGTCAGTGAAACTACTCTATTTTTGAGGTGTTGATAGGCTCGCGTCCAACGGATTTCACCAACGGTCGCAAAACATTGGTCCTAATTGATTTTTCGCACCACTTTTACTTTACTTTTTTAGGCGGAAATCGGCACCTTTTGCCATTGCTTGCAAATTTAATTTTCTTAAGATTTGATATTGATGTACGCAAAGAATTGTACAACATTAATTGTAAACCATATGCTACTCTCGTACAGCAAGGAGTAAAATATTTATACACATGCTAATTTCAGGATTTTTTTAAAATGTGCGATGTAGTCGCATACTTTGTTGCTGCAATAGTGGGATACCATAGACAAACTAAGATCACCTTAGTCAAAACAAAATCCATGCTATTTTTTTTCTAAGGGCAATGCTTATCACTTCAAGAGTCCTATATTTGTAAAAGTTATACCATGAAAGAGAGGGAGCAAAATGAAATTCAATAATGATTGCGAACTAGAAAAGATAAGTGCCGTTATCGAAAAACGTGAACTGTTAGGAACCTTGAGTGGGGACTCTCTAACCCTTTATCGCTCTTTATGCAAGGGAACGATATTTCAGCAAAAGACGCTGTTGTAAATGATAGACCGAGACATGATCATCTGTGTTTTCAAGGATTGCAGGGTCAATGGTGAAGGTGATCAATGAGACAGGCAGTGTCCGACCGCCAGAGGGAATTGTGCTAGACGCGCCCTTTACCAACGTGCTGGCTGCTGCATACCACTCACCACAGGGCAAGGCAAGTTTGCTTCCTTTTCCTTTTGGGCAGCAATACAGTTCCATGCATCCAAAATGTACCCATGAACTTTCAACACATGGCTCTGAGGTGCTGAAGGGTCTTCAGCATCGAAGAATAAGCAAACAGGATGTCAATGTTTTTCTTTAGCAATGCTCGAACATTGAATATTTTTTTAGGCCATTTGATAGGCAGAAGGATATAAGCAATGAAGGGTAACACTCTCCATAATAAGCGGCAAAAGTTGCGGTTTTGCGAGGATTTAATGTGCATTCTCAGCTTAGTAATTTCTTCTTCGAATTCATAATCAAGTCTGAATACTTAGAGCATGAAACGTTGTTTTTTTATTTGTTTCTGTTGTTGAGCTTGTTTATTTGTCTCATTAAAGATGCACCTGCAATACTAGCCTTGGTGATGTTACTTTGAGGTAACTTTTGCATACCTTCCTATTACGACCTCTGAGTGAACAGCATTTCCTATTATAAATCACCCAGTGGATGGGACTGCTAATCATAACTGCTTCCCGAGTGCATCCAAGGTAGACTATAACTGGGATGAGGAAATTACTGCCAGTGAACAAGTGGTGCGAGGAATCCTATAATAATAATAATAATAATAATAATCTGGCAGCATCATTTTTCGTTCGATAAAATACGCGCTGAATAATGGGCAAACCGATGTGTGGGCACGGTTACCGTGGTTCGCTTGGACATGCTGCACCATTTATCACCCCTGCCCCTTAGTCACCGTAGTCAGATTTGGTCCACACAGTCGAAGCATATCCGCGATAATTCCTTCTCTCCTTTCCTGCTGTGGCAACTAACTTGCTTGTAAAACTCTTCAGTTGGCTGAGGATAAGTTTTGCTTTCGGAAGGAACTCCAGGTCTTTCTGCCTATTAAAACTCGTGATATCTGTTAAAGGTTTCTTCCGTATAAATGTGTGCAAAAGGTGTCTGTGGAGCAATAGCATTGGTAGCAAGACTATTAAAATGGATCCAACTTGACACAGGTTTTACCACTGTCTTCCTAGAATAATAACATCTGTGCTTTAAAGGCAATAAATAAAACTATAAATGCATAATTGCTGTTTTAGGCCATGCGAGTCGTTGTGGCTTTAAGGCACCTTCTGAAGCACATTTTCGATTCGCTGAACATTACCTACGACTCCGAAGCAAAGTGAGTAGTTCATATTATCGCTATCGAGATTAGACTGATTCATCTCTTAGGCTAATAAATTGCTCCTTATAAATGGGTAACGTAAATAGTCAGTGGCTCATTCCGCTCTCTGATAGGGCCCATGAAACCTTAATGGCCAAAGTATAAAGCCGCAGCACTAAGTCCTCATCACGTGACCTAAAAAATTACTTACATTAAAGGGCATACATGTGGCAGTTAGGCAATCAAACTGAAGCAACTGCAGTCTTTCCGCCGTTTTTAGGAACTCATCAAAGACAATGTAAAATCGGATGTCGAGAACAATATTGTTTTTTAACAAATCAGTTTTATATTTCTAGGTGCCTTTATGAGGGCGCAGTATGGTTGTGGATTGTTAAAAGTGACAGTCTTACCTTGTCGACAATCTCACATTTGTGTTATTATTTTAAGTGATGTTTGAGAAGCTAGGTTAGGGTAGCTTCTCTCCGAACCCCGATAACACACTGAATTCGAAATTATTTAGATCTGTTTTCCAATTCTAGTTTAAGGTGTTATTAGTAAAATTAGTAATCATAAAGTCAACATTTCCTCACATAGAGCAGATCGAATTCCAGACTTTCTAACGTGCTGCCTACCATCTACGTAATTTTTTTCCATCTTTTGCTGATAGGCTAACGGTGGGCATAAAAGAAGCCGATGATGAGAGGTTATGGTGTCATAAAACGGCACTATTTTGTCAATTGAAAGCATTGAGACTGAATTCGAGAAGCTCCTGCTTGAAGAAATTGACTGCCAATTAGGCTGTACTGGTGGTAAAAGGATTTAGCGTCAGATTACTCAATATGCATGCAGGTGCATAGTCTTCTGCCACTCTCAAAAAAACAACCTCAATCGTTTTAGTCTCCATACAGCTAGCTACGTATGGTGCTCTTAGGGAAGTTCAAATTGTACTTACTTCTCTTTAAGCTTCCAAGTGGCAAGCTGTCCAATTCTCATTCTACATTCTGCTGACGACGGGATTGTACCTATTCAACTTGGCCATACGGTATGCTTAAATGCCATGCAGATGGGTCCTCGTTTTGTCCACTGCTACCTCAACTCATATTGTACCAAGGCAGTAACGTCATGCTTCAGTTTTGTGGAGGCCGTGCTCACGAATGAGATGAGCAGCCGATGCGTCGACTCACGGTTATGTGCATGCACGTTCATAACTAGTCGCCTCTTCCCACCCCATAGTATGCATTCACTATACTCATACACTTCATAATAAGCATGTAAAATTTATTTTTTTTTCTACACTAAAGGGCATTATACTTCAGCCCCTACTTTTTAAGACCTCCGATTAAAAGTACCCGAGTTTGCCGTTGGCATTGCTTAAGCTAACATGTGAGAAGAACAGGAGATGACGCATTTCTCACTCATGGCTAACGATCTAGACGTCTACAGGCATTTCCGCTATTTTGTGAAACAAACTGATTAGATTTACTGCTGTAGACGTTGGTGACGACAAATGTCCTTTGGCGTAGATTTACAGCTTCTCTCTCCTCACGATGTTTGGAGTCAATAAAGCTCTTGATCTCATCAGAGGCGTGGCGATCCGACGTTGGCCGATTTAGCAATGGCTTTAACTATGTAAAGGAGGCGAAGGTCCATAAATATGCCCACTTTACTCTAAAGTAAACATGAGAAACTGCTGTTGGGAAAGTGAGACAGAAGAAAGTGCTGAACAACTGTTATCAAACCTTAGTAGCAAATCTAGTGGACTCGTGGATTTAAACATAGTTTTAATAATACCAATAGTAATGCTTTTACAAATGCATGCTTAAAAGAAGGACAAAAATGGTGTGCAAGCACTAAGATGCGACGTTCGAAATGCTAAGCTCCCATTCAGATAGAGTGATAGGAGCTGAAGTGTATCAGAAGAAATCTAATTAGAATGTACTTGATGACAAACATGACGACATTTATGCTCTCCGGAATACGGTAACTGAGGCTTGGCTAATTTTCCTGGTATTAGGCGCTCTTGGAGGATTGGAGGTTGAGTTTATAACGGTTGTGTTTTTTTATTGTAAGAGTGTAACCTTGCCTGTTTTGTGCACTAATCTCTACATTGAAGATTGGCTCATAATGCTGTCTTGCGGACATTAAGATCTACACAACGCTGAAGAAGGCCAACATTGATGTTACGTTTAAGAACTTGGGATTTCAAGGCTTTGGCCATGGCAGGAACCATGAATATCCGGGTATTCCACGTTTGATTCGGTACGTGCAAATAGGTTGGTGGTTGGGAGTTCTTTTCCAAAAATTGAATTGTGCTTACATAGTGGAATTTAAAATTGCCTAGGAATGAGTGAGGTAGACGTTATGTTATACACTGTACTTTTTTTCAAATATGCCGATGTGGGTGTTTTGATGTCCGCGAATTGGGATTGGGTAGGATGAGATCCCCCTTTAACGTGTTCCGTTTAGCGATACGCTGACTTACCGCCTCTGACCTAATTGGTCTGTTTTTGGTCTGCTTTGCAGTGACTTTGTCAACCGCGCGATTTCGATAGCCAAGTGAAAAGGATTTGGGATTCCACGCAACGCATTTACACGCTGTTTTTCATCCCCTTTCCCCTACCAGCGTTGCATTGGCATACGTTTAGCAAAGCATTTGGTTGAAGAGAAAACAGCTGCACTAACTCAATGGTATTTTATATTAAATGAAGGATTTCAGAAGAATGCTGTCGGATTCTCGTTATTTTTTGGATTTTCTCAAGCTGGAACGGGAAGCCATTGTCTGATCAAATAAAATATGAGCAGAAAGTGGCCATATTTCCATGAGAAATGAAAAGTGACATTTCGAAAGGCTTGTTATGGCCTAAATCAAGCATGTAACCGCTCTTCTTTCAAAGCAAAAGTAATGGCACATCGTCTAACCTAATTTAAGCTAATTAGCTACTTTTCAACCTAAAATGGACAATTTTTACAGGCCATAGGAACAGCTGCATTTGATGAAATCCATAGAGGATTTATGGTAGTCGCCTCAAAAGGGCAATGTTAATGTCACCAATTCTCCACTGAACATGATAGCAATCAACTATGCAAAGTACTCCCGACATCAATTGTGGAGGTGATTTGGTTTTCACCTTTCTTTGTCGCACCAGCTTACGGAACACAAGCCATCAGTGCTGCCACTCCAGTATGATGGGAATGCCTTCCACGCAGCCTAAGTGTTTCGTTCGTGTTTTACGCATTTGACCATATCTCGGACTGAAGCTGTCACCATGACAACTTCCTAGTCTGCGATAACCACGTGGGACTGGGTGTCGTGTTTATTTGCGCTGCAACATGATGCAATGTCTTGTTCATTTTTTTACCTTTTAGTGCGATGCTACAAGTCTTCAAACGCGCGACCTAAATGTCACCATTCCTTTTGTGTATTATTTTTCAGTGAGCATAGGCTCAATAAATTTACAGCCCCTAACATCCCACGTCATACAACGCTAAACATAAACATGGTTGCTAAGGCTCTGACAAAACCATAATTAAAGCCACAATTAATGACAGTGGTTTGTCCGTTTCTTATTTTTGATTCAGTTGATGGATAAGGTCAGTAGACCCATAACCGAGCTTATTCTTCATAGTCAAGGTCCATCGGTTAGACACTCGATTCTATCGTCTGTATAATGCAAATTTGAAAGGTACGGACAGTATTCTTGCATCGTATGGCGCAGGAAACTTGCAGTATGTGAAGAAGCAAAGAAGACTCATAGCCGAGTAATCAACCAAATAAAAAAGTATCACCGTTAAATTGCTGAAAAGTTATTTCCAAATCCTTACTTCGGTTTAAGGAGCGGATTCCGCTCTTTTGTGGAATACTGTTGATAGTTTAGGGGATTATCTACTTTGATGTAATTTGAGAGCTAAACTACGAGCAGTATTACCTTATTGGGGAGAAAATTTGGAACTAAGGCAGTAAAAGTAACGGGAGTGCGAAAGCTCTGAGACATCCAAATATTCCTCCGAAAGAGCCGACTAATTGAGGCTTCGCACAAACTTGCCATCTCTGTTAAGCAGCAATAGTGCTAGTGCTAGTGCTGCTGTTTTAAATAGGTATCAGAAAATACTGACAATAATGGCTTGAACCAGATTTGCTCTAGTACAAGCATTAGTTGGCTGCGCATTAATGTTTCTCCTAACTTAGGTCACTCTGCGTACACTTAATAATAAAATTTTTGGTCTTGTAAGAGCATGTTTACTTTTATTTTCTTGAATGATGAATTCGGCTAATGTCTTATGTAGAGCCCCACAAAAGGCGATAACCGAGGTAGTACAGCAATTTTTACTTATTTATTTTAAGTAGCAATTTGATAGGAGGTAAGTGAAAAAATTGAGTAAATAATAACCGCCTAAGTTAATCCGCTAGATCAAGGTTCAAGTGTTCTGTAGAGGGAAGAGTCAAATCACTCTACAGAAGTTCAAATGGATGCACTATTTTACAGTCGTAGAAACGGCCCCAATTGCCGCGATACTGCATCTTACAGGTGACGGCATTATTGAAATAATTGCTCTCAGGAACCAAGTAGTGAGGGTTGTAGGTAACCTAGAAGAAAAATATGAAGGAACAACCGTGTCCTTACTGTAATAAGGAAGTCACGTAGTCGTTTGTAATAATAAGTTCAAAGACAATACAAAATTCAAGATGACTGCGAATCTGTTTCCTCGAAGTCTGAAAACACTCCTCAATCCCTCTGTAAACGGAGGCAAATAATAATATGCTCATAGGAGTGACTCAAAGCCAAGTTACGGTCCAATTTTAAAAGCGATTGGTAACAGTGTTAATTTGAATACATATTAGTACTTGTGGCTACCTGTTATACCACCCAATATGCAAGCATAATTTCCTTAATGGAACTTTGCTATTTCCTTTGGTAAGTTTGCGTGATTCAGTTACAAGCTATCGAGGGTTTATGATCTACTGCCTAGTATTGTGCCTGTCCACATCGTTATTCCTTCATATTAAGTTAAGGAGTGATTAGCTGTGTTACCTGGTAAGTGTAATCTCCTACCGGAAGATCGGTGATGTCGACCCACTGGCAGTCGTAATTAAAAAAGTACTCGTCTTGGCAGCCTGGGCTAATACCTAGTGCATAAAAACATTGCTTTGAGTGAAATTTCATTTCTTGGCTCCACTCCCACTTGGCTGAGGGATCATCAAATAGAGCCCTCTGCAAACACTACAGAAAAGCTTATTTTAATAGTATTTTGCTTGGTGATCATTTAGTTATGTTATTGAGGTAGCCCCTAATTTCGTACTTCAACATGCGTACGTGCAAAAGTATCCCATTCACGTGCCTACCTTGTTTCCCCTTGGTATCCATTACATTGCTGCAGAAGAAATGCTTCGTGACGTTTCTGTCGCAACGATTGTCCTCCAGACAGAAGCTCGCCTTGTGCCCGTAGGAGACGAGACGCTCCATTATGTCGATGACCTCGTAACGACCAAACACTTTCATGCTGTGGTAATGCCTAATGGGGGCATGGAAGACGCTCGTCCAGAGTGGCGAATATGCTGATGTATGCGTGAAATAAGTTTCCACCTAAATAAGCGATTCTTCAAAACTTAATGAAGCAGATGCATGTTGAGAACAATTGAACTCTCGTTTTCTGATTTAACTTGAGAATGTGCTGCTGTCAGAGTTAGGTTCCCGCCTTTTTCCTTCGGTGATCCAAATTAATTTGTACGTTTAACACTCCAATACACTTATCCACGGCCAGCTACAGAAAATATTTAAGAACGCTCTTCTACTCCTTTATTAAAACTATTGCGAGTTTTAGTAGTGTACCCTTGGTTTTTATTGGCATTTGATATGAAAGTTTATTAAAGCTTGCTTTTGACTGCTAACCAATAAATAGTTGCAGCAGCATTTGAACGTAGAAGTGAAGAATGATATCAAATGGGCATGCATTACAATGCATCCTCCTTTATTTCAAGAGACAAAAAGATTTCGATGTGTATGGTTCGAACTGGTAGCATCAAGGACACTCACTTTCGGTAGTTACGAGTATCATTATACTGACAATGGAAGCGTGGATTTGGTGACTTTGATGGTAAATTACCGGGAACGTGCTCCAAACATACGGCATAAGTACAAAATTGCGGCCGAATGAACAGCTAACGGCATAAGGATGGCGGTGTTATCCTTTGTGTATTATATGGGCTAGATGAATTCATCAGACTCAACGGATTTGCTCAAGTGCTAATCGAAAATGATGAAAGAGTCTTACGCATGGCATGGATGCCACTCCCAGTGTTCTGGTATGAGAGCGGGCAAAAATGGAGCCGTTCCAACGTTCTTTGTGATGGACGAAAATCGAATCAGAGTTCGCGCATCCCAGTAGTAGCGTCCTTCACGGTGGAAAGGAATTTTTACAGACTCATTATTTAAAGAAAATTCATGCCACTGTGATTCATTCAAGAGTAACCTAGCCGCGTGCGAGAAGACTGGGTGAGTTTAGCATGGTGTTTGCTTGAAGGGAAAAAAAGGTATGAACGAGGGCCCGTACAACAACCGGTCTCATTGGATGCATGCCTATGTTTGATAAATATGACTACACCTGGTGACGACAGTTTGCCTCCTAAAGACATACCGGGATTGTTAGCAATGTAGGTGTAGACACTGTCCGGGAAGCAGTGCTCCTCAAGTGCACACTGCAAATGCCACAGTCTAAGCCTTTGAATGTGCACTGAATTCTCGAGCTGCTCAATGTCCGAAATGAGATCCGGCAACTCTAGAGCAATCATTTCAAGGAGATAAAAACAATAAGGTTTGATAATCCTTCCTTCATCTACTGGAGTAGGTGAACTTCGAGTTGACTGCAAAATGGTGTACGACTTAGTGAATACTTGGATCTCCCGCCAATCGGAGTGTAAGGACAAATTTGGGAGTACTGCATATGTCAAATTTGTGTTGATTGAAACACTTAGATTTTGCAACTCAGCAATTCTACTTTCACCAAAAGGTCACTCCATTTAAATCCAAATGCTATTGTCCCTTGATTCTATATCGAAAGGCATATTTTATGACCAGGTTAGATGGTAGCATTCACAAAAATGCGTAAATTGATGACTGTGTCTGCTCACTATCTTGGCAAGCAAGAGCGACTGCTTTTGATGATTTGCATTTTACACCGTTTGGGTCCACATAGTGTTTGCATTGATCAAGACTGGTCTCGTTGCCAAAACAATGCCCAATAATGGCAACGTGCTTCATTGCAGGAAACACACCACTGTCCAAAGGAACCTGGAAGAAAATAAAGTGGAGGAAGATAAAATTGCACAGCTAAGGTGATCGTCAATGTAACTTCAAATGGATTTAAGCATTATCCTGGTTTGTGGTAAAGGTCTCCTGGCGTCAAAATCGTCGGCTTGTTTGGTTCCTTACACTCCAAAAGCAAGAGTCAATTAGTTTCATGTGATAGCAAACGTTGAGTTACATTGCGAGAAGTAGGTTTGACGACACTGATTAGGCCAAGGGTCTAGATGGACCCATTGGAAAGTCTTTGAGGCAGTTGGGAGAAGGCGTAATGGTTAATTGCAGGGCCAAAGCAATACAGTTACCTAAACAGGTGATAATTTTTTTCAAATGAAGTAAACCCCTGAACTTTCCTTCATATAAGTTTTTCAGTAGGCAAACAAGGCAATAACCTCAGTGACAACAAAAAGGACCTTTTAACAAAGTCCTAACAAAACGTGAATACTCCTAGATGATCCGATAAGTGTTCCCAAATTCTGATGACCAAAGCATCTGGCTACTACTCGACCAAGGGGCAGATGGCTGAGGTTATTGCCTTAAGCAATATGTCACTTCCTTCGGTTTATCTGCCAACTTGTTCACATATCGTAAGGATCCATTCATGCTGGGTGCTTCAGAGCAATTCGTATGTCCAAAACCTTCTTATCAGTTGTAGTTTTAAGTTCACTAGGATGCAATAGCGTCTGTTGCAATGTAATGTTTAATGTGGAAGGTGAATTATGGTAAGACCACTTTTGGAGGATGTTATTAAAGCCAAAAGCAACTCATTGTGTCTCAAACCACAGTTACGTCCGCAATGTCTTTAAAGCAAAAGACGAAGTGGAATTCCAATCGCACTTTAATGCTCCACTTCATCATGGCAAACGCAAATGTCGCCTTATCATGACTGCAGTGCTTAGTTGAGAAATGCAATGTTCGGAGAAGTTCACAGCACTGTCTGCATTGCAAGTGTGCATAGTCAGGAACTTCTTCAAACGAAACCTTTTGCATCGACATTCTTTGAGGCACCACTTAGAGGAGGCGGGGACATCAAGGAGGGGAGATAGACATAGCAGCCAACTTCAATAGAACTCTTTTTTTGCTAAATGCAGCCAATTCTTCCATTTTTTTCTGTGTGACTCTCAGTCATAGTGGGAAACGAAAATAAGGCCAAACCAACTCGCCTCTACGATGCGGCCGCCAATTCCAGAATTAGTTTGCTTGCAGGCGACGATGGCATCCATTGTGGTGAAGTCATCAGGACAAACGGCTCCAGCCTCGCCATTTTCAGGGTAGATGATGAGAATTTGTGCGTCCTCCACGGTTTGCGTGGAGTTTAGTTCTTTCACTTGGTAAGAACCGCTGGTACTCCTGTTCTTCAACCTGAAGGGCACCTAGAAAGTACCACTTAGTACAAAATGACACCAAAATTGCTATTCTTGCATACCAGCAAATTACGGACTAATTGCTACCGATTGGACTGAGTGTCAGACTTTCAATTTTAATGTCTTATGGCACAAAGCAATACTTAGCACAATGCAGTCACGATATCAATCAGATTCAAAGTAGTTTATTAAACCTTTAAAAACGTGTCTAAAAACAAGGTTTTGTAGCAAGTGTTTGAATTACGGGCATTCGTTTTTCATGTAGCCCTGACATGCATCAGATGAGGGAGAGTTTATAATTTCCCTTGCAGTGTGTTTATGGGGCTACAGTTTGACACTGGACGACTCGTAAAGCAAATCATTGCCAGTCCAATTAAGTAGTTAGAGACGGTAGATGAAACCGGTATAAGTAAAGTTTAACGAGAAATTAGCTGAATGCCCACACCAGTAAATAGTTACATTAAGCTGAAATATTTAAGCTGTCTAAATAAAGATTCCCAACGAAGTTCTAGTCGAAATTACAATTGAGGCAAATAGGATGGTTTGTTAAGGAGCCAAATCTGTTTACATTGAGAAGAGTTTTACTTTCCCTTTGAAAAATGCACAACAGTTTTGGATAGCTGATCTCCTAAGGTGACTAGCGTAGGTACAATTAAGTAGGGCAGTGCCTTAAAAGACGTGCTTCAGCAAGAGAAGAATACGTTCTCAGCCGCCCTACCTCAGCAAGCTTTTCGAGCTCCTCCCTTGTATAGTCTAGCCGGAGTGGATTCCATTGAATTTTGGCGCGTGGACTGACGTCCTGGGCACACTGTACGCCCGCGTCCTCTTGCTCCGCGCAGTCGTGCCTCGCCCAGCCGTCAAATTTGCAGTCAACCAGACGCGTCTCGTTACCCAGACACCGCACATTATCCATAAAGTAATTGCCTACCAAGGAGCAATCTTCTGTAGGGTTCTGCCCTTAACTGGCATCTTAATTGCACAAAATTTCCCTCATACGAATTCAGCCTTTGACCTTTTCATGCATAAGTTGCGTTCAGTCTTTAGACCCCAGTCGAACATTTTATTGTTGCGGATTAGCGATAATAAAGCCATCAAAACCTGTCCTAATTCGAAGTCTATACTGATTTTTGAGACTTTCAACTAAAAAATACATTAGATTCTATGTTATGCGAAGCACAATTAAATTGCTAATGAAGGTAGTCAAAAAAGACGTCCCATGGAAGTTAGACAAATGGGCGAATTGCTAATGATCATTGGCATCTTTTGACAAAACTGGACAACAGCAATGTTAAAAAAATAAGCGAACTTTAAGCAAAAACAAAAATGCTTATATTGGTTACGAAATGTCAAGGAGAGGAAGCCATTTTACGGTCACTAGCCTGTTCTGACTCCTTTAACTCAAATTATTAGCGGTGCATTAAATTTTCGAATGTATATGGAGTCCAGAATGGCGACAGAATGTTACTACCTTAATTTTTCGGTCGAGAAGAAATCTGAGTGGTTTATTCCCATCCCCTGAGAATAGCGATCCCGACGCCTCACTGCCGTTTAGTAATGAAAACAATTTGAAACACTGAGCGATGGGCACAAAGAGGAACCACTTTTGTTACTTTAAACATGACTCTTGGTAGAGGAAAATAATAGCGATACATTTCCAATACGCTTTGCGAGAAACATTTCTTATTAAAAAACTTTTAACCCTGCAATACTGAATCGAAGGTGGAACAGATTGAAGGTGCGGTGCCACTCAAAGGAGGAGGGCAACAGTTGCCTACTTTCAAAGCAGAACGGAGATCAGACCAGTCTAATGCTTGGAGGATTACATTTCGAAAGTTTTTCACATCAAAGCACCTTGTAGGCTAACACTATATTCAGTTGATTTTTCATTCCTATAATTTTGAAGAATCGCCTGATTACCACTGACTTTTCGCCGTAGCTGCACTTGATGCTTGGACCTCAGCGTGCACGCTTGGTTTGCCGCTTTGAAACAGAGGCATCATAACCTCACATCAGTAGGCTCCGGCACAGGAAACATTCGTACAAAAGCATGTGATTAATTTTGTTCACTTTTTTCATTGCAATCCACCAAATTCTTATTTGTGTTACATTTACAATAAACGATAAGCCGATTCGACATTATTTGTGACAGAATCATCAACTTACTAAGCTTTACTTTACAAGCTCTGATCGTGAAAACCTGCTATACATCTTGCTACCTAAATTTATAGAAAAATTATGTTGCAGTCATTATTTACCAACACTAGTCAGCATTGGTGCGCTGCTATACCTTTTTAACGTTGCGTGCTAAGATTTAAAAGGCTGGTGAGAAGACTAAATTGTGCCAGTCGGTGCTTACGTCCACTGACGGAATGAAACTGATTCCGTTTTAGGGCGCGTACGGCGAACCCAAGTCCGAGTTGGCGGCACACCACGTTTGCCTCACGGATCGACCAGTTATCGTCGCAGACGCGGCCCCACGCGTAGCCACGGTATACTGCTACCGTGCCTGAAGCAAAGTTGTCACCGTCTAGGAGTTTTAAATCGCCATCCACTAGCTTCCTGATGGAGCCGGCCGACACACTCTCCAAGGCCACCGCCAACAGCAGCAACAGCGACAGAAGAGCGTTCATCGTGTCGCCTAACTAGTGCTGGCACCTCCGCAGTCGGCGCCTTTATATACTAGCGCCTCTTGCCTATGCTAATGCCTTGTCCGGAGTGATAATTATTATTCTGCTGAAGGGTGAGGCAACGTACTCTTACTTTACTGTTTTACCATGAAACCAGCTTTTCAGATTATACACAGTGAAGGGACGGAAAAATAAGGCATGGCTCCAGCAGAGCCAACCTAAGCTTTCTAGGTTACCGATTGGTGATTTGGATTTAATTTTATTTAGCGAAAAGAAACAAGATCGGTGCCATTTTTAAATAAAGGAAAATTGCGGAGAGAATAGACTAAAGTGAGAGTAAAGAGCTCAATGGTGGTGCCCAATTTAGATAATTGAAATTCCAGACACTGAAGTGACTGTAGCTGTGGGGACTGCCGGTTTCTGGTTCCATCATAAATGCGAATGCTTTGGCAATACGAACTGCAAATTGTGTCCTCCTTTAAAATAGAGTTAAGGCGGACACGGATGAAAAGCAACTTTCCCTTGAGCATTCGATTTAGCTTCTCTGATGTACTTTGAGTCCAGTGGTTTGCATTATGCAAACACATCATCAGTCATATTTGCATATTGTGATTGTGCAAATGACCGCGATTTCGCAATGTAATGAGTCGATTGTACGCAAGTGCTGGCGACACCAACGTGGCATAGCAAGTTGTGCATCATTTTGAGTAAAATCAACTTATAAAAGCGAAATTTTTTATTCTGGTTAGATAGCTTAGACTTTTCCAAGGTGTGGTTGTGGAGAGGAGCAAAACGTGTAGATTGGAGGGTCGATGTTTGCCCACTATTTTATTTCATTGGAAATTATAAGTACCACGGATGCGAGAGATTAAGCCTTGCTCAACACATGGGGAAGTGAGGCTACTAACTCATTTAAAAAGGGTTTTAAATGTTAAAAGGAAAAGTAGCCACACCAAAACTCATTGTTTAAATCGGCACGGTTCGGACAAAATAACAGTTAAACCCGAGTTATCAACAACTTTCGGTTTGATATGTGCCATCTCATGTAAAGGTGATCATGAAGGCTCTTTTGGAAAACCTTCATTTCCTATGCTTATATATTGCACTTACTGCGGCTTTCGTGTTTCCTAATTTTACGGCAATAATTTTCTTAGTATTTTATTTTGCTGGGGTGCGTGAGTTATGGCGAAGCAAATGAGCCAGCAATACATCAGGTGTCAGTGGAGAAAATGAAATCGCTTGCAAGAACACCACTTCCATGATTCATTGGAATGTGTTGGGTTTGTGTGTGATGAACATGAGGAGCCACACGCATTCCGAGGCACAGATACGGGCGTGTCCACCAGCATTTCCCAACCCGAATTTCGCCGCCGTGTGAATTCAAAAAATAAGGCTAAGAAGTGTCGTTAAAAGGATACAACATTTGGGCCTCAATACTGAAAGAACTTACAAGTTGCGGTCCTGACAACAGGTTCCTTGAAGATGGAAGTGACAACCTCCAATGATTTGGCAGGAGAATCAGTGGGCTAAAACAGAATTTAAATGGGAATGAAAATCCTAAAAACATATAATGAGTTAGAAAAAAACATCAGTAAAACTGTCAAGTAAAGGATGAGAACCGTTTATTGGCCTGCTACCTCCCTTTTACTTGAGAGACCTAGCAGTGACAAATATACTGAATGGCAGACGGGACATAAAGGGGAGCAACTGGCACGTCGTTTTGGGAAAACAGCTTATAGGTTACTGAAAGGTTCTTAATCTTTTCTGAGACCTGATAAATTTACGTTTTCCTTCTTGCAAATATCAAGTGATATTTAAAAAAATTAACCAAAAGACTACCATATAGTTGGAGGCATTTGATTGGTTGTGTAATGAGAAGATTGTCATCCATCACTCTCTGAAGAAGAAGAAGAAGAAGAAGAAGCCTGCCTTCGATCCGCTATGCCTTCCTACAAGCCCAGTGGAGAGAGCATACCAGACTTATGATTGTGCAAAAGCATTGCTCTTGACATTCTGGCTTTGATTTCGCACAATGAAACTCATGTCCTACCACTATCTTGATACCTAATTACACGAGGATACCCTTTTTCCATTAGTTGATAAAGCAGTAAACACCCTTGAATTATAACGACATCGACTTTCCAACAATTGCTTGATCTCTCCACCTCTGCACTCCAAGCCTTCACTTGCAGTCGTGCAGTGCAATGCAACAGTTGAGCGTTCAAACAATTCAATGCACGGGACGAACGCAACATTCCAAAACCAATTCTGAAGCGATGTCATGGGCTCGAACCGTTGATGCATTTAAATAGGCTTTTTTTGCTTATTAGAGTTAATGATCCGGCTCTAATCAGACCGAAAGTCCAACACGTCAAAAGTGAAGCCAAGTGCTATTTGTGCTATCAGTGCTGTTTGTCTGGTCACTCAGTGTTCGTCATGAACGGTTGTAGTGCGTAATTCAAAATGCAGTAAGGCATTAAGAAAGTGTCTTCATCTCAAACCGTATTTGTTTAACCCAAGTAAACGAACTTGGGTAGACCGTAGTTTTGTGAAACTAGGCAATAAATAGGGAACAGATGTTTTTCAAGGCCATTAATAGAGCTAGAGGGCAAACAAGGGACCCAAAAATGCCTTTCTGCTTCCATTCCTTGGCTGACGGCCCTGTAATGAATCTGTCAATTATTATATCAACGGAGCTTTGAAAAACAGCTGCAATTTTACAAATACTTGCCCATCAGCAAAAGACTTTGTTCAATGGCTCAGTCCAGTTAGCCTTATGATATGAGCGGAATACTTTCTCTTAGGCGGGGATAAAGTCAAGACTAAAAGCATAGCAATGGCATAAAAATAGGGTAAAAGTAAATAGAAGAATAGAATTTTTGTCTGTCTATGGTAACCAGTGAGCGTTGGGTGAATAGAGCAGAAGGATAATAAAAGCAATTCTTCCGCACGTTCTGTCGTATATTTTCCAGAAAGGTGAGATTTGAAGTAAGAGTGTTCAAAACCAGAATGTGAAACTTTGGTTCAGATGGGACTGAATGAGATTGAAAGTCAGCATCGTTTGACCTCCACACAATATGTCCACAAATTTATCCAACCTAATGAAATAGTTGAGAGTTTAGGGAGGAAGTTAGCCGTCGAAAATCTGCGCATCAACTTAAAAGGGTGTCTCGGATAATGGGATTTACTTTACTTGTGATGATTAACGCCAAGGACATCATTTCGTTTAAAAGGTTTGCGTCGACTTCATTCCCGACCTCAAACGATATGATTTTACCAATGCGTAATTGTTCCCCCTTCACCCGTTTGGATTTGGGTCGTAGCCGTTTAACTGTCTACTGTCCGAAAGTTAACCTTAAAGAATCCATAGAGTACTTCAAAAACATTACGATTCCCTAAATGATACGATAATTTTTAGAATGTCCGCCTCAAAATAAGATGGGTGGCAACACTTTAAGAACCATAAGCTCATTAAAAGCGCTCTCCTGCATTATCCTTTTTTCTTTAAAAGTAATTTAACACCAAATAGCATTTTAACTCTTCAATTAGACGTGTTAATGTTGGCTCTACACATTATATGAGTCTACGTTTGGATACCGCTTCTCTGCCATTGGCTCTTTGGGAGAACAAATTTATTTGAAACGCAGTAATTCAAAAGGGAATCGGCAAACTCGAAAGTTATTGGTCAAAATTAATCCCAATCTCCCCCTTTAAATGCATATATAGAGGCCTCGACCATCAGCTAAAAAGATAAAGGGTGAATATAACAAGGTAGGCTCAGGTTGCTCCATATTTTTTGCTTGCTCATTTACCAACTAGATTGATCTCCCATTTTTAATAAACAAATCTCAAAACTCTGTTGCAATATAACAACTTATTGGCATGCAGTTGCGTTCAACAAACTTTATTTTTTAAACAATAAGCGGTGAACTTCACGCTAAAAAAGAATCACAGCGCTACCTGCCCTCAGTAATCAGCCAAGTAGACATCATGTCAGTTTCATTCATCTTAAATCTCGGATTTTTTCGGCACAATGTCAAAAATTACTGAACTATCAGACCAATACTTCAGTATACAAGAATGTTCACATTCCTTTGATGCTCTGATGAGGTGTTTGTTGATTTTGAGAACCCACAGAACTTCGACGGAGCATCCATATCCTTATACTGAAACGGTGTATTAGTTGATTAGCATAGTAGGGGAACCGGCCATAAGCACCACAGCAATGCCCTTTTACACCGCGCCTTTTCACCGCTTTTAGAATGAGTTTTACCTCGGTTTCCTTGCTTGTCACAATTCTGCTCCTCATTGGCCTGACGTCAGTGTCCACCAAAGCCGAAATACACAACCTCTCTGAGGAAGGCGGTGCGAGGGAATCCCACTGCTCCGAAGTGCTCCGCCAAATCGATGCGCTCTTAAGGCAGTACTATGCTGCCACCGTCTCCAAAGCACGATGGGGTATGTTGTTTCAACAAATTAATATAACTTTCAAGGCTAACTTGGGGAACATTCTAGTAATTTTTGGGTTCCCATGAGTAGGGGATGTGTCTTCCTCTTGAGCAAAGTCAAACAGAGACCTGCTTTTCGTTTCAGATTATTTCGATGAACCCTTCATTCTGAGCCGCCGTCGCTTTACTCGTCCCACGGGCTGAGGGTGGTTGCTACAGCCGTCCCCTTTTGTGTTTAGTTTATTGTTATTGCCCATAATAAGTAAGACTTAAACAATAAATGATCTTTTGATTCAAGTAATCAATTTTGTGAAATTGTTAATCACTCGCGCTGCACTTTGGACTTGATTGCCTGTTTTCTAAGACCTAGCTCTTGTAGGCGGAACAAATATTCTAACCTCAAAAAATTACCGAGTCTGAGAATTTTAGGCGTTTAAAGATAAAAAGGTTGCATCCAGCAGTATCAAAGAATTCCACACTTTGAAGTCTGCATTTGAGAGGGAAGCACACCTCATTTTAGCACTAAGAATACAAATGAAATATTTACGGTTTCAACGTATAAAAATCATGATTAAAAATTAGTTACGAAATTATTTGAATAGAAGGCTAAAGTGTTGTCAAACTGAAGCAAATTGGTCCGTTCCAAGTCCGCTTAAAGTCGGTGAGCTTTTGAAAACCATATTTTGTAGGGAAACAAACAAGAAACTGAGAACAGATGTCGCTCAAATGGGTTGAAAAAGCTGCACGATAAATGGGGAGACAATTAGTATTGTCTTTATAGGACAAATTTCCTTTTGAATGGCTTACTGTTAACGCGAACCAAGGAGAGGCGCTTCGTTCTCAACAAATCCGTCTAATATTTACTTCGTGCCTCAAATTGTCTTCCACGGAGTCAGACTCGAGTGGTAGAGGGTCGTTTTATTCGTACCAACATGGCTCGAAACAATGAGGTCGATTTTTCTTTTCATTAATACAAGAGAATTACAACAAATCGCTTATTACGAAGACTCAACTTGTGACATTGAATGGTAACATCAACATTGTCAGTCGAAAAGGTCAACATGGGGAGTCTTCAGCAGGGCGGCATTGAATTTCTTGATCTTTTCGTTTTCCTTTGCAACGTGTTCGTCAACAATTTGATCGAAACCTACAAGAGTTTTTAAACTTTAAATTTGAATTTCTCCTTGTTACACTTCTGACGTGTGTTATACTTGGAATGAATATACGTAACTTTTGAAGTAAAATAGGTTAGAACATTTTGAGTGTTAAAGGGGACATTAAAACACTTTCAATAGAAACACCATCAGTCTATCAAATTGTTGTCTCAACTTTACAGGCCAAACCTATAAAGTTCGACTAATATCCACGTCTCGCCATTGATACTTTTAAGGAACCAAAGCTTTTCTCATCTGGATGTCAGTGCATCAATTCCAACCACTAACAGGTAGCTCTTTTCAGGATTCGCTTCGGCAGCAACAGTTTAAGTACAAGCTGTTCGAGCTTCTACAAATACCAAAGGGAAATTCAGACCTATCCTTACATATTAATTCACTCGACTTCCCAATATGTACCATCGGCAGAATGTAGGCTTTTTGAAGCTCTGTAGACCAAAATCTTACAGGGATGTCTGAATGACTTTTCTCCCAGCATATGGACATAATAGGAGCCTGTGAAATACCATCCTTCGGGCATAGGGTAGAGCTGGTATGTGTCCTAAAAGGAGAAAAAGAGTCGATTGTGAATTTGTTGTCAGGGCCATTTTGTGTTAGCATAAAAAACAAATACTTGCACGGACCGACAGCTTCAATGTTATTAAACAGTGACATTCTGGTCAGTTAAAAGATAGCGTGGGTATCGTCAAGTTTTCGACAGGGAAGGCAACTGTGCCAATAAATAACCATTTTAGCAATGGTAACAAAGTCATCTTTTTGGGAGAATGAGCTGATCAATTGCATTTTCTTTCGTAAACCAAGGGGGATGTCGTGCGCAGAACGCTGACAAGTTAAACGACTGTTTTGGTGAGGGGGGTTCTGCATTCCAAGTTTTATCCTGATTCCACCAAGAGGCAGGTAGCTATCCCACCCATTTGATGCATACGTTTTCACCACCAGCAAGTTCAAGTACCTTATTTGCCACTCAAAGTCATCACCAAGCGACTGACAAAATGCTAAAAAAGAAACGCACTGTCTACCGAAATGGAGAGAATTTTCTGAATAACAGCAAATCATGTACGATAGCTGCTATAAAATATTCATGAAACTAATTGAAATAATTTTGATAATTGCGATTCGTTTTAGCTGTTCCCAGTTAAAAACAGAACCTCACGAACTTTTATTACAACATTGCATTCACGCACTTTGGAATGGATCTTAAGCTAACTATCTCGCGAGAATTTTTAAAACTCCCATGTTTATACAGCAGCAAAACCGAACCCCCAAAAATCAACTCAGAGTCGTATAGAAATAAAAGGAAAGTGGCATTCCTGAATTTCGTCCAGTTCATCATTCGTCAATTTCTCCTTTTCGATGAGAGGTCTCAGCTTTTCAGCCTCTCGCAGACATTCTCGAAGCCAGGCTTTGAGCCAGTTCCTAAGTTTTTCTTTACAGTCACCATCATAGATGGATCGCATGACTACGTTCCTTCGAGTGATGAAAAAATGAGCGATCAGAGAGTAAAGCGCAACAGTTTTGGATGCAGTATCTCCGGACTCCACCTTAAAGGCATCCTTCGTCTCCTTTAAAAAGTCAATCTGCGGCCAGTAGCGGCAACTGATGATGCTTTTTGGATCTGAAAAGAAGCAAAACAAAAATTCAATAAAGAGCTACAAAGTATTGATGCAGTGTATTACGAATGTACAGTTCAAGCATCCTAAGCTTCATTTGAATTTGATGTTGCTCTATCTTAACCCTACTGATCACCATAAGTTTCATCGGTGGCAGCCTTGATTTCATTGGTGAGTTTCTGCATGCTAATTACCTTATAGTCAACTTGCTTTTGAAATGTTTGCTCGAATGGTGCACAAAATTATTTAGTTCTCTTTCCTTTTAAGTTTTACGAGCTTTCTGCAAGAGTAGGTGAGATGTAACTCACCTTCATCGAATGCAAGGCTGGCCTCAACATAGACAACAATTGGTCCCTCAGAGAATGGACTCAAATTTGAACGCAGGCCTGCGAGAGGAGATGGTGGTTGAGAGCAAAATGGTACTAAAAAGTACTTTCTAGCTTTGTAAGTGGAAAAACTTACCTTTTAGTGCGCTAACCCACTTATTTTTATCCAATGGAAGTTTGAATCGTACACTGATCGTCTCAAGGCGATATACTCCGAGAGAGGAACAGTGACTACAAAGCAATGAATAAAGGTGAGTTGTCCAAATTTGACCAAACTATGACCAAGCAACATCGCTTAATCGACAGTTACCTCGGCCAGTACACGCTGTTAACTTGACCCTCGTCAGCCATAGCATTCGCCAGCGATTTTAGCCACTAAAAGACCACTGATTTCTAATCACTACAATTGGGACATTGCAGTACCGAAGGATACAGCGCATAATTTCATTAATGTTTACTGAAGTAGTACCCTATTCACTAGTGCCCCACTTACTGTATTCAACATCTACTACTTAGGAATAAACCAGTGTAGGAGGAGCGATTGGAATGGACAGCTTCTTCAGGACAATGGTGATTTACTTCGCATATGTAAGGAGACGGTAACGTTGTAGTCCCTCTTCTTCGAATAGATTTTCATTAAGCAAGAGAGTCAATTGGGTGTAGCTTTTTATTTTTCCAAAAGGGGCCGTCAACATCACTGCCCGTGGATTCATTTGCCGTATGGCTTGCATCAGGAGCTCAGCTCTCGAGGATTCCATGTCACTCTTCATCTGCATTACCAAACAAAAAAGGGCACGAATTTCTGGATGAAAATCCATAACTTTTTTAAGGAAAGTGTGCCATGATGAATACCTTTAGAACAAAAAATGATGTCTACCTAATTAAGATCATGTCCTACCTTCGAAACACATTTTGCATATATGCAACAAAAACGTTAGTATGGCATAGTAAATGTAAATTCTACACAATGGAATGGTACTATTGCAAAAGGAAATCTTAATGAAGCATTTTTTTGATACAATCCTATTATTTAACATTTGAACAGTCGTTGCGAATCTTGGTTCATGGTCTTCAAAAGGTGTTAGGATCACTCGCGATGTCTAAAGGAGAAACTTTTCCCAGCGCTTGGAGCTCAGTAATCAGATAATGCCATTGAACGTGCGTCCTATGTGGAGATGCTATTAGCGCTTAGGACCAAATACTGAAACATTTCAAGGCTCTCCAACGTCAAAGCCATTGTATGGGGTGCTAACACCTTAAAATTCTATGTAAAGGCTTGTAAAACTTAATATCGCAATTCTCAATCATTTTTTTTAAAGATTTGATATTAAATTGGCGCGATTTCATAGTTTAGCTAATAAATCATAATAAAATTTGCCTACAATATAAACAGGACCCACCTTTGTAGGATTTGTATAGATAATCATGTTTACCCATCCTCGGTCAAAAAGCGGACACAATCCGGGCAAAATTAGACTAAAAAGGCTTTTGAATTTAAATATCCATATATAATCCATACATTATTATATCAGAATTTATGACCTACACTGTAAGGGCCCGTCTGGTTAAGTAAGAGTAAAAGGAACTAACCGGGCACAATCTAACAACTTCTATAGCAAACCTGCCAGTGTTTACCATAAATGCGTTTATCTCCTACTTAGCACAGACCTACTTGCTTATCCTTATTCCCGATCTCATAAATCGAAATAGTTTGCCTATTAAACTGTAATGAATCAGAAAGTGATTTCTTTAACTTGAATCTTGTATTTGAACAAAGGACAAAGGCGTTGGGAATTTTCACAGCCAAACGCAGTTGCTCAACACCTGCTTAAAAGATAGGGATTGGAGATAGTTCCACTGTATACCTGCATCAAAATTCATCTTTGATGGGACCACAACCATAAAACATGCGCTTTAGCTTTGTTGATGTATATGGTTGGAAGTCTTTGCTTATCACCGTGTGAATCCATTTGAAATACTACAAGCCTGTGGAGGAATTATGTTGAGTACCAAGAGTAACGTGGGACTATAAATTTTTTGTCGTGGGAACTATTTAGCCGTGAGTTATGTTACTGCGAGATTACGACTTTGAAATTTGCCTTTTGCTGGTGCACCACTTCTGAGTTATAACTCATGGGCCTGCCAAAATTGCACCTACTTACTATTCCGCATAGCATTAGTGGCAATGAAGTACCGCTTTTGGATGCATGTCACTTGAGCAGTACATGCATAAGTCCAGTACGTTTCTTGGTCCTTACTACTGGTCATTCTAGATCCGTGTCTATTATTATTATTCCTTTGCAAATAGGATTAAAACGTTCAAGGATAACTAGACGCTTCATTAATTGAGGTGCTATATGCTTCGCCTAATAAATGATTAGCTAATTAGGCAGACAACAATGTGAGATGTGTGACTCCCAGTACAATGACGTGCATATTACAGACCCGTCAAACCTCAAAACCTTAGGGTTTCTGGCGACGACTAAAGCTTTTCTTTTTTCTATAAGTCGTTGCATCACCGACTAACCGATTTATATGGAGTTCCATTCCATAATGCAGAAGAGGTGATGGACTTATTCTACGTACTTGAAATGAAATACACTACTCAACATTTTAACTTACCCATCGGATCCCATAAGGCACATCCTCAAATCAACACAAGTGATTGTAGAAGCTAAAAAGTAGCAACAGAATTTGCGTCATATCCACAGAACTTCATAAGGCTATCCGAAGACCTTCCTAAGTTTACGCAGTTATAATGTTATGTCTTGAATTATCCTCCAAAAGTAAACAAGTCTGATTTGTGTGAAGTAAGATGGTTAAGAAATTTTAGCGAACAGCTCTAAAAATTTCAAAATTTTTATAAGAAGACCAAAATTGAAAGACATTGTATATTCCATTGACTGTTATTCCTACGGGCGAAATAGCCTAGCCAGAAATGCTCCACTTCTTGAAGGAAATTAGTTTCCACTTTGGTGTACAAAATAAATCACTGTGTTGTGGCAACCACTTGCCCACTGGCAATAAGTCTTGATTTTCACATACATCGTACCAGTTTCAGTCCTATGAGAGTTCAGAAAACTCACTGATACAAATGGACGCCGCTTTAGGGTCATCACAGGTAGGCCTGAGGTGGAATTCAAGATGAGTTAGAATCTCTGGCACAGAGATCCATAGGGGAGCAACGAGGAGACAGCGGAAGAGTCTAGTCTCCCCACTTTCTTCCCGCTGTTTCTTGTCTCTAAGGCTTGAAATAAGGAGTTCAGACACCTCTGTAAGGGATTTTGGGTGAAGAACCGACCAGACGATGTTTGTTGTGGCAGCGCTTACAATGCAGCCAGCCACATCTGCCTACAGAGTCAACCAAGCACAAAACGTGACAAGTAGAACCATGCGTAACACGTCAGAATTGATTTGTTAAAAGCAGTTGTCTTTTACCCTTCTGCTAATTGAATGCTTTCATGAACAGTATTAGTAAGAAATGTAGACCGCACAAATACAAATTATTACGAACGCTGCTTTGGTAAGTTGCCACTACTTATTAGCAAATGCACCACTTTGCAAACACATTCGAATGAAATGAACTTACTCTGTGTACCACTTTGTACGAAGTGTGGTAGCTACTTAAAGATGTGTGGCGACAAGGTGATCTTGAGTGGAATATAGAACAGCGAATTGATGTCTACTTAATTCAAGGTGTTGTAGAATGAACTACTCTGTTTGTGATGGAACGCTAATAAATTAGGAATCCTGAAGGCATCGAAAGAAGTAAAAATGTAGTTAGAAATTGCAAATTATACCATGTGACTTCCATGAATCCCGCAAAGAATCGTCATTTGAAGGCTATTTGACAGCCCTCTTTCGTCAAGGTTTGCATCTTTGAACCTCTTTTCATCTAGGCTGCCTACATTAATAAAGGTGCATTCTTTTAATATAAACTCACCTGAGCTAGATTTAGAGTTTGAGTTCGAACAACAAGTCAAAAATCTTTTGGTAACACGTAATTTCTGCTTTATTAAATGCTTCCGATCATCAGTGTACGAAAAGGGGATGCCGCATCGAGACAGAAGTGAATCAATCGACAAACTCCCATGGTAGGCTTGGGCAGCTGAGAGACAGAGACTACTTTCAAGGTGGTTCCTAGCGTAGGTTGATTCCTCTGCCATCACCTCCATCGAGAGTTTATGTCCGCTAAAACTAAGAGCTTCTCCAGCCGACGATTGACAAAAAAACTGGCCTTTGACACCTTTAAGAGCCGTTTTGATTCGATCTTCGAGGCCCATGTTGCTGAGAAGAGCAACTTCTGGCCTAATGTTTACGTCCAAGTCCACACTACACGCCTGCAAATGCTCAAGTGCCTGCATTGTAAAAATAGTAACACCTGTCCCACTTAATCTGTCAACATTATCTTTACATTCTTTGTATTATCAAGTGAATACCTCTTATATCGCGACAAATGCAATAAGCGAGAATAAGTAAGAATGGTATTACCGAAACCTACATCGTGAGAGGTAGTACCAAGGCAAAGCACCAAAAGAACACATTGTCGGTCCCATTGTGGTACATTTGAGTCAAAGAAATTCTTTGCAAGTCTTTTGGAATCCTCAGGGTTTAGGCAGAAGAGTGCAGGTGAAGGTCTTATATAATGTTCAGGAAAGACATCTTCCACCTCAATCTGCCATAAACCCCAGAATTCTTTAAAGTCCTGAAAAGTTTTATCAATACAGTCTATTAACAGAACAATTTCAAACTGCTTTTGAAATTAGGCAATCATATGCGTGCATAGACCATTCAACCTTACCGTAGAGAAGCAGGTTACGTTATGCACTGAAAACCAGTAGCACCCCAAACGATGACTTGATATACGAATAATGCCTGCGCTGAATTGACAAAAAGCTGGAGTAAAAAGGAAATGAAACTTAGATTTAGCATATTCCCTTAGCTGACTATTTTACGGCGCCGTTGTAGAGAGATCAGTGAAAAAAATGTAAGCTCTTGAGACAAGACATGGTTGGGTACAGAAAGCAACACTTGTAACCCTAAGAGCAACTTCTTAGTTCGTTACCTGGTGTTATGTCAACTTCATTGACGCCTTGATGAATCAGTGCTACGGGTACCTTTCTTTCTTCTGATGTTTTTGACGGCTTCGTATAATGCTTAACGAATAAACTTTGATTTAAATTTTAAAAAAGGAACCAAAACGAACCAAGTCGGTCATGACTTGGCAAGAAGCAAAACGTTAATTGAGAGAGATCGACTAGATTTTGTGTTTACTTAAGCAAAGCTAGTAGAAGTAAACTTTTCTTAAACAAGTGACAAAAGACTACCTCTGAGTCCCAGTAGCAAAATCCAGGAATATGCTTCGTCATGTTGAAGACACTAGTACTAATTCGACCTGTCCGAAATTAAAAGAGGGCAATTTTAGAAGGGGATACAGTGTATTTACTTCCATGATTTCACGTACCATTTCCATCGTTAAGGGGAATGTCCGAAATCAACAATGCGTCAGCATAGGAAACGCTGCCGTTTACGACGTTGGAAAAATCTCTCAAGTCAAATAAAGATAATTCCAAGGTTGCTAAATGAACATGCTCGTATAATTTTTCATCTAGGTCTTTTGGTTTAAACCTAGGTATAAATTGAGGAAGGAGTTGAGCAATGAAGCAAAATTACGAACCTTTGTTTTTGCATACAAAAACCAGAATCCACGGTAGACAGCACATTACAAAACATCAGAACATACCTTATTTTTAGAGCCGAATAGTTAAATTTTGACAGTTTCTCCTTCAATTGAGCTTTGACCGTTCTAGTAATAACCTGACATGAAAATTAATTCAGATATTTAAAAAATAAATTTAAAATGAAACAGACCGATGCAATAAATATCCAAACAAACGGAATGAGTGGCACTGACCGGAATGTTTAGGTAAGAGCAAAGCATAATGCTCAATTTTTATGTTTTAACTAGGTCATGCCAAAAGGTGCATTTAACTTTTACCATTTAAAAATTAAGGGAGGGATTGAGGTTATGATTTTTACCTTAAGCAATGCCAAAGATTTCGACACTATCTGACCAACGATTTCGGCGAAGGCCCACTGTAACTTCAAGTATATTTCAGTTAGTTGGCTGAGAGATTAAACAAAGCATTCATGAATAAGTTTGAACAGTAACAATGGAGAACAAATATGAAAGTTAGGAAAATTCTAAGTACTTCCCCATACCACAGGTTTTGAAAGGTGTCTTGTTTCCTTTCTAAAAACATCAATGAAATCGACAAAATATTCGTAGAAATGACAGTAACAATAGCGTACACTAAGAGTAAGGATTAACATTAAGGTGTATCTGCGTTCTTTGCTTACTGGTGTTATCGGCTGTAGGTAAAAAGAAGTACGTCCTTGTACAGTGACAGTTAGGAAGGACCGAAAATCCTTTGATGATCTAAACACATTTAAATAGATGATATCAAATGTTCTTATTCTTGCAAAACTATAAATTAAGCACAACTAATGTGAGGCTTCATGCATTATCAGTGAACCTCGCTACGACCTTTGGATGATGCCTAAGAATTAAAAAGATAAGGTTTCATTCCTTCCTATCGGCACTTGTGGAGCTAAGTAAGTGTGCGACGACTGCTGAGAAATGCGTAACGTGTCTGCTAAAACAAGGATAAAAAAAAATGGAGAATAATTGGCAATCATTAATTGGTTTGGGAACAATTTTTCCGCCAGTCGTCTAGATCAAAGTAGAAAAACTACCAAATGAAGCGATGTCGTGTTCAATAAATTCGCCGAAAAATCACAATGATATTCGTTATCCATAAGAATGTTTTCCCGAGTATCAGAACCAAAAAGGCAGATTGGATGGTGGATTCTAGAATAAAAGAGGTAAAAGCTATAGGCACTCGTTGCCCCTTTCTTCACATAAACCCGCATGCCGAAAATAACTTTGAAGTGGCTAAAAATTTTTAAAACTCAAATCTAACACACCTCAATTGCATCAGCGATACATATGTGCCCGCTTTTAATACTGTGTTCCAGTCGATGAATGCAACCCTCGAAAGCCAAGGCAAACAACGTAATATTCTACAGTCATTATTTAAGAGCTTTACCTTTAGAAGTAGGCATTCAAAATTTAAGGAATCAGGATGCTTCAGGAGTATACTCAGCTGTTCGGTGAAATTATTAACCTACTCCGAGAAATTATTGTTATAAAGGCGGAAACTTTGTGGTTCAGTGCCAAAGAAGCTTGATTCCCCCTAAAAGGCAATGACTTACAAAAACAATGTTCACAAAGTATTTTTGCGATAGCAAGCAGAAATAGTTTTAAACCACAGCACATACATGGTACATGAATTATATGAATAACTTTGAAAGAGATGCCAGCTTTCAATAACTGTTGTCCAATCAATACATGGATTCTTTACGGTTCCATTTGCATGTAGTGGAACAGCTATTTGATTGAAGGGCGAGATGCACTTTTGCAAGAATCGAATTTTCATAGCGTCATATTCATCAGTGTTGTCACACTATATTTATGGTTTAAAACATTACTTACTTTTTCAAAATCAAACGTGTAAACAATTATATCCGAAAATCGTAAAAATATATCCATGTAAGCATTAATACTTGGGCTCAAGCAAAAGCATTCAATGATATTTTGCTTTAAAACCAAAATGAAATCTAAAAAGAAATACGACGAAATTAATGCAGTACTATCGTTCCGATCTAACGATGAATACAATATATGCTCCTTGAAGTCATACGATTCCTCATTTTCGGCAAATATATATTTCATTGCCTTCATGCAATACAAGTTAAATCGGCTGTCAATGCCGACAATGACCAAAAGAATGTCGTATTGGGACTTAAGCAATTGCTTCCGAATTCGATAAAGTCTCTCAAAACTAAGGCGTTAGCTAGTACTGTCTCAAACCACAAAAACCGGCGGTCCAAATCCGTCATCTCAATTCCACGAAAACAGAAACGCAGTTTAAGAACCGATCGAAGTGTAAAATTAAACAAGACCACTCATCCAAGCAATGATAGGTTGAGCGCAATATATGGTTTTTCGATGGGTCTCAGAAGCCAAAGCATATTATACTTATTTTGAGCTAAGGAAATTTTAGGAAAACTAATGAACAACAACGATCTAACCAGACAAATAGTTAGGCTCTAGCACAATTTCCGAAATAAGGAATTTCGAATGTGCTGAATGATTTGCATCAAGGAATCTTTCATTTGTCCATAAATCACAAAAGAGACTAAATCATGTATTATACCAATGCCTCTCATATTTCGCTTGATATTTTATGTTTATTTGTCCCTTTTTGGAGAAGTATATGCTTATTTTAATGGACGTCTACACCTAACCCTGATCACATTGCCTTTCGACTCCCAAACGCATTGTTGTTTAATCAGTATAATGTGCTTCCCACTTGCCTGAGTCCGAGATCTCGAATTCGATTTCGTAAGAGTTGATATAATTGGTACCGTCGGTACCTCGATGTTTAGTACGTCTTGTGCCAAGTCTAGCTAGTGCCAATACAATGGGGGACGATGAATATTTTACCCTGGATGAGTTAGTTTCGTCTGAGACTAGCGAAAGCGCCGTCGTCTATGGTGCGATTGAGGACGAAGAAGAAAAGTGCACGTTTCCAAAGGTTGGTTCGCAACAAATCTGTGACAACTTTTGAGTAGGGTTATCTTAAAAGACAAGCGGTTTTTGCATGCAAAACCTGTTATGAAATAACTGGCAAGAGGGCAGGTGTTTGTTACGAATGTTCCATGCACTGTCATGCGGCTCATGAGATTATTGAGCTCTATACTAAGCGTCATTTTCGTTGTGATTGTGGGAACAGCAAGTTCAAGGGTGCTGGCGTGTGCAGTCTTTGGGAGGTTTGTGGTTTACTTGAATAAATAATGAGGTCCAGGAGAAAGATGATGTGAATATTGAAAACAAATACGATCATACGTTTGATGGGGTCTTCTGCACCTGTTTGCGTCCGTATCCTGACCCTGAAATTAAAGAAAACGAAGAGATGTATCAGTGCTCAATTTGTGAAGACTGGTTTCATTTACAAGTATAAGTCTACTGATTTCGAATACCCATGTAGCATCTAAATATGCCGTTTGACTTCCAGCCCAATGATGATTTCGAAGAGCTGGTCTGTCCGAACTGCGTAAAGCGATTTCCGTTTCTTTGGTTGTTCTACTATTGCCAAATGCAATCAAGGAATGCGGAAAATGCGAACCACTTTAGTGATTGTTCATCACCCAAAAAAGCTAAACCTGACGATATTATTAACCAGCCTGAAGCCCCTGGTAGTACAGAAGCGTGTCGAGTTCCGTACGTTCTGTCCGTATGCGGTGTCGAAAAATTGGATCCACCACCAGCGGACATGGTACGACTAACAGTCAACGGTTTTCCTTTCCCATCTCCAATATTCTGGTGTAACGATTGGCGCACGGATACGTTATGTGATTGTAATTCCTGCGAGGTTGGTGTCTATCTTACTTTTACCAAAGCGAAACTCCCCTCTAGAAAATGCTCGAAAACATGGGTCTCGAATTTCTCTTGGATCCTGAGGACTCGGTTGTGCATTACATGGCAGTTGGCCGCCAGAGGGTTGCTGAGCTTCACGCACGACGTGAAAGTCTGATTTCAGAAGCTCTTGCCGAATTACCACATCCGGCAGCGATTGAAGTTGCTCGGGGCAGGTTCCACTCCTTTTTAGCTTCCAGATCTCCGATTTAGCGCTGATGATTTAGATTTACTAATTGTTAGATTAATTCGTTCTAGGTATCTGTCGGTTTAAAGAGGCGCTTACTAATTTCTTGACCAAACCGCGCGAACAAAACGTAAGCTTTGCCTTACACCTCTAATCTTTTGGGGAAAAATTAGGTCGTCACGGAGGAGGAAGTTAAAGAGTTTTGTGAGGATTTGAAGAAAGACCTGTAACAGATGCACATATATTACAACTGCGTGCATGTATCAACTGTACAACTTCCGAAGACCCCGTTCTTACTCCAGCCGCTTCAACTTCGCTACAAAGAAGCCATCCACATTATGCTTGTGGGGGTAGAAGCGTCGTGTTCGATTCATCTTCGGTGAGAAGTGTAATCCCTTAAAACTGCAATAAACAGTTTTGTCAGACTTCATGTCTTAGGTGTTCCTTACCTCGTAAAACCCTTTTCTCCAAACAAATTGGTCTCCTCTAATTGGACCTTTCTCTTGCGGAGAGCGTAGTCGATTACTCCTTCGTTTTCGTTTATCTAGGAGAAAGCGTTTAATGCCTAAACACCAACTCGAGGTTGATCAAACGATCGCCATGGATGCTAAGATACTGCAATTCTACAGTTCAGATACCAATTGCTTAGTAAATTGTATGCAATTTGACAGCAATAGGAGATCAATGGGGTGTAGGGTTTCCGTGCTCGAGTGGCCGGTGAATGAGAACATACGGTGATGGAGCAGGTTGAGTAGACGATGTAGCCGCCAACCTTGCAACAGTCGATTGCGGCGAGGATTAACTGTTTTTGTAGCAATACACGCTGCTTAATGTCTTCGTCACTCCTGTGTGTTTTTACGGAGGGGTCTTTTGCAATAATTCCAGTACCAGAACAGGGCGCATCAAGGAGAACACGGTCGAAGCCAGCCATAAGGTTATGAAACTTCCGACCGTCCTCCACGCAAACAACCGTATTAACCACGCCCATACGATGGCAGTTACTAAGCAGGGCCTTGGCTCTTTCCACACTGACGTCATTGGCAAAAATGGAACCCGTATTCTTCATTAGCTGAGCTGGAATAGACATCGAGGTAAGATACACCAGAAGAGGAAATATGTAAATTTAAAAGCCATTAACCTACCGATGTATGTAGTTTTCCCACCTGGTGCTGCACACATGTCAAGTATTCGCTCACCAGGCTTGGGGGCCAGGGCCATAACAGGCAACATAGAGCAGGCGCCTTGAAGAATGTAATGTCCAGCAAGATATTCCGGTGTAGCACCCAGGGGGACCTGGGAAGAATACACCACAAGTCCAACCTTGCTCCACGGTTCCAAAGGATCCAAGTTTACACCACGATTAATGAGAGCCTAAAAGTCCCAAAAGTGAGGGCAAACAAACTTGAGCTAGATCTCTTCGCCGAGTTTTAAGTGTATTGGTTCGAATAGTAACAGGGCGATCGGTTTCGTTAGATTCCACGACTTCGAGTATCTAAGACACTATTAATGTCTAAAAAAAGACTACCTCCTTTGGGAACAGATCGTAGAGCAAGTTCATCATAAAACGGCTATACGAATAACGCTGGCAAAGATCGTCGATGAGTGAAGTGACACAAGCTTTACGAGTCAATCCAGGAGGGGCACGCGTTTTAAAGTCACCAAGAATAAGCAGCGAATCTCTAATACGTTGGTTCAATAACCCCATGTCATAAGTTGGGGCCAATGACGAAAAAGAGGTCCCTATATTTGTAGCAACGTCTTCATTAGGCTTTTTCTCCTCTTCAAGATCCCCCGTCTCCATAGAGATATGGCTCGGCTTTACGATTTCTTCGATAGTGGGAAAGGTCTTGACTTCATCGTTAAGCTCTGCCAATTGGTCAACCTCTTCCGATAATTCGTCTGGATGAAATAGCTGCTTTTTTCCGGTGAGAACAGACCCTAACGATTCCCCGTTCTGTAGGAGTAAACTGGGAAAGGCAACTTGCCTTGCAAAATTTCGCTACAGAGTCTTTGCCGGAAAGAAGCCTCTTCTTCAACCTAGCAGATAAATAAAGGAACAGTTTTCACCTTTTTTTCTGACGGCTCCCGAGAGTAGCTGAAGTATAGGAATGAGAAAATTGATCTTACCTTTCGTGCCCTTTTCAAGAAACTTGAACTCAGGATCAGGCTGATGTTTTAACCTAGTGTGTCGCTTCTTCACAGCAAAGCCCATGCTAAAACCCAAGAAAGACCGCTCCGCCTTGACCTAGCGAATGAGCTGCCTAAAACATCCTTACAATCTTATCAATTTGGAGCGATTGTAACATGCATTTGGCACAACTTCATAGAATGTGCAAGTATTAAATTTTTTAATATTTACTTTCTAGGACCCTATTTTTAGGTGAATGCATGGCTACTTACATAAAAACACAACTCATAAACTTAGTTTTGCTGCAACAATCACACAGTGTACTCGCCTATCAAGAGCAAGGAATCATTATGTGCGGAAAAACACATTGCTTATGCGATTGGTGGGTGTGGATACATTAATGACTGAATTCAGGTAATTTCCATCTATATTTGAACACTCCCCCATCATAAGGCTTTAAGCTACCGATGTAGCGTCCCGAGGCTTCCTATAGGGTGAAAGAAGGCATAACTGAGGTTGAATACATGTATTTCGAAGACGACAGGGCAATTAGGGCCTGAGCGTGGCCCGAAGGCCAGCCCACGTGCATAGAGGCCAGACAAATTCAAAAGTGACTGCCAGGCATCAGGTAGTCACATAAACAAAACATTAAGCCGGTGTTTTATAATCTTAGCGAGATGTCCCTCAAGATAGCGAAGGACTAACTTTGCACAATTTTGAGCGGGTCTTTGCAGAAATCTGGCTTCCGCCTTGTCCAAAGGCCAGCTCAGTCGTGCAAGAACATGGTTACTAACACAGTTACCTTCAGTCATGCATAGGGTCATCTGAAGAGGGTACTGTGGCACCATATCTGCGTTTGTACCATTTTTCATTTATGAAAAGTTTTCCTTGCATGCTTTTTAAGTGGTAATTCAGTTAGATACAAATTCTGATTGCTTTTTAATTGTGCTTTCATGTCTTCTGTTGCTTATGTCTTTTAAAATACTGCGCTTATTATCAATCCTTGACTAATTCCACTAGCGTCACGTAATTGGGTGTGCCAGAGGTCGGTCTTTCTTGCTGGCTATCATTCATCATAGCAAAGCAGGCACTTGGTAGTGCGCTCAGGCATCTGTGTATTGGTAACACTAAATTACTATAACTAGGTAAGCCATGTACGATAATTTCTTGGGAAGGATTTGGTCAGACTTGCTTGAATGGTCTCTATTTTGTTTTTTTGAACAACTACTCATTGTCCATTTACGATTCGGCTTTATCACACGCATTGTAGAGCATTGTTAGTTGTGGTCGTCTGCTTTTTATTATGGTGTTACGTTCCTTTTGCCGACTTCGTTTATGATTGCGGCTATCGATAACAAGGAGAAGATTATTGAACAATGGTCTTGGCTATTTTTAGTTTGAGCGATGGGTCTCTTTGATGATCTTCCAGATCCTGTTGCGGAAAGTAAGCTTGTGCGATTCTCACTTTTTTATTGCATTCCTCTAGTTAAACCTTTAAAAAGGCACATCGACGACGAGGATAATAACGAAGATTGTCTCGTTAGTAAAAGGCCATTGATCGGTAGATCATTATTGCAGTTTTAATTTTCACTTCGCTATCTGTAGATCTCGTTGAGCTCCTTGTTGGTACGGCCGCACAGAAAGGTGAACGCGATGAAATGCAGGATGAACATCTAAGTATTCCTGACTTTGGCGATAAAGTAGCCGCTGGGGCCTATTCAGGTGAAGCGTATGCACTCCTTCCTTATTGCTTTTTTGTGATCGTCTATAATACTACCGGAGCACACACACTGTGACCCTTACTTTTGGTGCCATAGGCAAAGAATCAGTCTTTTTGGCGTTTTCGATGGTCACGGTGGTGCTCGTGCTGCTCAGTTTGCGAAGCAACGGATTGTGGAGCAACTGAGCGCAAAATTTCCGTCAGGTAAACTGCCTTCTTGAGTTCTCTTCACCTTTCTTTAGGCGGCCTATCTCAAATTGAAAAAGACATGAAACGAATTACTATTGACATTTATAAGAAAATCGATGAGGAGTTTTTAAGAGAGGCTTCGCGACAGTAAGTATTTAGGCATCCAGTCTGTTACTTTGCTTTTCAACAGAAGACCACACTGGAAAGACGGTTCCACGGCCACAACTGTTTTGTTGGTAAACAACACTCTCTACATTGCAAACATTGGCGACTCCGCTGTGAGTTATTTTTGTGTTAAACTAGTAAGGAAATCGATCTTAACATTCATAAGACCAATGTCTTGCCGCTATTTGAGTTTGTAGTGTTTGCAGCAGAAGGGGGAAATAGAGCGCTACGTTTAGGTCTTGTTCTTTTGAAGGCTGTAATGGCACGCCGTCGGGAGGGAGGGGATGGTGATGAGGCGGCCATGGAGTCACTGGTGGGTCTCCGACTCACTCGTGATCACACGCCTCTTGATCCGGGTGAAAGAGAGCGCCTCACTCGCGTCTCCAACATTCGTATCATCGATGGTCGTGTGAATGGTCAGTTAGAGGTCAGTCGGTCTTTTGGTGACTACCAGTTTAAGCGACATGGTGTCTCGTGCCTCCCCGATGTGAAGAAATATGAACTAGTTCCAGGTCGTGACAGGTGCGTTCCGCAATTTTGATGAGCAAGATATTCCTGAGTACGTCATACATCTTGCCGATCTAGACGGAGATGTCTTATCAACTTTCGTGACTCTGAAATCACTGATATCGATCACTCTCATGCATAGAGTGGGTTGTGTTTAGATATGGTCCTCCACTCGTAGCTCCTGGTTGGGTCTTTCTTGTCGTTTTTCAAAAGAAGTTCAAAGACACCGCTATTTCTCATATTGGATAGTTTTATGTAGTTAGTCGTGTTTGGAGTTTTTTTCTGTTCTCTCAATGTCTACTCTCATCTAAACACTGTTTAAGGAACCAACCAGCCTTCTTTATTGAATAATCATACGAATGTGATTGATATGCTTGCAAACTCCACAGCTTGCTTACTCTTTTATCGCTGCTGAATCGTTTGAGGGATCTTCATGAGATTATGAGCGAATAACTTCGTCTTGCTCACTTCATTATCCTTTCATTATTTGAATCTTGTGCTTTCTTTTGACGTAGAAAGGCACAAAACTCATGCGCGTTTTCAATGTAAATTTGATTTTCCCGTTAAGTATTAGCTGATTTCAAGACTTAACACAATTTATCTTATCTTTTCAGGTTTTTGTTGATCGCATGCGATGGATTGTGGAAGTGCTTCTCCTTCCAGGAGGCCATCGAAAAAACAAATCAAAGAATATCTGTGAACCCACTTCTAAATAAGTTTGTTTCTGGAGAAGTAAGCCAACCTACTCCAACCTCTAACGTTAACGATTAGTAAATTATTGTCTTGAGTGCTCCTTAGATGGGGAGTTTTCGTAAAATATCCCAAATGCAGTCACTCATGTAAATTGACTGATCTGTATTATTCGGACAGAAGCTTGTGGCTTTTTTACTTATTTTCAGCACTTTATATTCCATTTTACAACACAATTATGGTTGGTTGTTGGGCCATCGTTGATTTCGTTATGCGAGAAATATCTCTGGCGCTGTGCCCTGCTAATAATTTCTATGACTGTGATGCACGCAATCCTTTCTCTTTTGAGTTAATGGGCTGTCTTAATTTTGTGTTTTTGAGCAAAATTTTGTTCTCTAGGGTACCTTGACAGAACTCACTGACATTCGGGCTGCTCAGAGGGCTCTGAACGCAATCTGCCTGGAGCTTGTGCAGGAGGCAGTTCTTCAAAGGCTCTCGGGTGATAATGTAACCTGTATTATCTTGCTCTTTTCTCAGCGTTCGGCCTCAAAGGTGATCTCCTCTAAGGAATGCAAAATGGATGATAAGTCCCCCAAATCAATGAAATAATCTCGCAGTTGTACTATCCGATTAGTAGTCCTTTTTTTGCTAAACTCTCCTAATGGTAATCCTAAGGACATCAATAAATGGCGATTCCAAACGTGGAAACTTGTTTTCTTGAGGTGCTTTGTTCTTTTTAGTAGACTGATAGAAATCGGGATGAATATTTAGATTGCTAGTTTTGCACGGGCTCATGAACGTGTTGCTCCGGAGTGTCGTAGGTGCACGAGATTAGTGCGACATCCTCAGCTTGTTGATGGGTTATTGTGTGGAAGGTGTGGGAGTTGACGGTCTCGACCACTTCTGCTCCGGCAGAATGTGCTTGTCGGCATTACTTTCTGCTTACCAGCATCCGATAGGCAAAACAAACTCAGGAGGTAGGATTGGGATTAGAAGGGGTTTCATTTGACAAGGGGGCGAGAGGAAGCGGCTATGCTAACTGGACTTGCGTGCGCCTTCCATGCGTGCTGCAAATGTATCCATTACTTTGCTGCTGCTCTTACCACTGTGCCTGCGATTGGTTCCGCCTAATTGATATGCCCTATTTTTTTTATAATGGGGCGTTTCTAGATGATGTTACCATTTGTTCTGGCCTGAGTCTGTTCTGATGTCACTGCTACCATTGATGAGACTTGCCGTGGCAGCGACTCTGTGGCTTGTCCTGCTTGAGACTGCTCCTGGAGGTCTTACAGGTAAGAAGGTAAGCTGCGTTAAAGCGCCAATTTTGTTTGATCTCTCGCATGACTTGATTTATTCTCATAGCAGATGGTGCTGACAATTTCTCTCGGCATTCATTTCATCGCATACAAATACGACGCATCGTACGACACCTTTGCTATTCACTAAAACTTGCAAATGTTTCAAGATAGGCTGTGGTCATTGCGTAAGAGCTAAATTTACTCATTATTCTGGGGCATTCTTTATTGTATGGTATTGCTGTACCTTGGAGAATGTTTCTAACTGATGATTATTGAAAAATTCAAGGTATTCAACCATTATAAACCCAGATACCCTACTTGGATAATTGAGTTCCAACCTCTGGATACATGAGTGAGAAGTTGATGATCAAAAGAGGTATTAAACTATTTGTACGTACAATAATAATTGGCCAGACTCGCATCAGTTTTCAAAAGTTCACACTAACCATAAGCACGAAAGGGAGATGTGTGAAGCGCGACTAAAGTGAGTTTTATTCTTGTTTAGCCTTCAGACCGACATTGGAATGCATGTAGCACAGCAAACGCGATTCTTCAGCATGGCGAGGTGATGAGACCCGACTGTCGCACTGAATGCCTTTGTGACGATGGCGTGCTTCTATGCAAGGACCTCTGTACCACCAACAACGTTGCTGAAGCTTGCAACCAACCTCAGCTACAAGATCACAAGGATCACTCGCCTCTCTTAGGTGGGTGTAACACTCATCACCGCCATTCTGCCTCGTCACAAGGCACAGACTTGCTTGTTTCTTTCCCGTTGTGAGCGAAGGAAGGGAAAGGGGGCGAGGGAGAGGAACGCAGAGTTCATCGCAAACATGGAAGATTTAAAGCTCTTTTATTCTTAGGGCAATGTCAGTTTGAGGCGGGTAATGGTGCCTTTAAAGCCTTTAAACTTCCTGTGCATGCTGCTTCTTCGTATTCATCAACTTTACTTGCAATGAAAATCACGCAAGGTATAACGAAATAGCAAGCCAGTCTCTCTTTTGCTGTACTTTAAGTTACTTAAATTGAAGCAAAGTACACGCTTATGAGAGTTTATATGAGTGTGAGGAAAGGTACTCTGTCATAAAGTCAGCATGTTGGCTAGAGAACACGCGCATTCAAGTGTACCCGTCTAATCAACAAACATGCTGGGGTGTGGGGCTCAAGCATACCTTAGGGAGGGCGCAAGTTGTATGCAGTTGCAAGGTGTTTTAATCATAAACAATGGGAGAATTTGTGGGGTGTTGGGAGAAGCGATGTAGACAGACAGTGGACTTACAGATGGCGCTTCATAAAGTACTAGAGATTACATAAGAGTTTTCAATCAAAATGAGAGAACTTGGTTCAAATGTCAGCGTATTTGGAGCTACACCGTGTTTGTAGACTGCAACATGAAGAGGTCAGTGCTGATAGCTATTCCGACAATTGTTTATTGAAAACAATAACACTTGCTTGTAGTGCCAATTTCACATAAACTTTCTTGCTGCCTTATTAGCATTCAAATACTGCCTGATATTCGTTTCCTCGTTCTCGAGATGTAACAAAGAGAAATGTCCTCACGATTTGCTCTTTGAGGCTGTTCAAAATATTCATCACCTCAGTCATCACCATCTGTATCATAAACCACAATGTTTGAGTGACTGATGAAGATGTGCGTGTTTCTGACGGCCTCTCTCATCTGATTCTCTGCTGATTTGGCCATTCGCATTAGATGTCAAAGTTATCAACTCAAAAATCGCCACATTGTTAATGCGGTCCACATGTCATCTCTGGTAGTGCTAAAACTCAATGCAATTAGCACTTTGATATACGTTTGGAAGAGTTGAACATCAGTTTGGGGAAGGTTTTGGCACTGACTCGGTGACCTGATAGGCGAAGAGAAGCTGCATGATTAAACTGTTTCAGCGTACTATAAGTAGTGAGTCTAAGGAAGGATTTTTTGTTCATAGGAAGTCTTTGCAAATCGAGACCACCAATGACAACACAGTGGAGCCCCTGCAGCAAAACCTGCGGTCTCGGAATGTCATTTCGAGTAACCAACAACAATTCCGAATGTCGCAATCAAACAGAAGTCCAACTGTGTCATTGGAAACCTTGCAGCCGGGTAACGCACTTTTATCCATTTGCCAAAAATACTAATCGGTTGTTTAGTGCTCTTGTCAAAATCTTATAGATATGTCAATCGAAAATTAAATTAATTGCACTTCACTCCCATAATATATGAGATTGAACGAATGCGCGAAAGTGAGGAACCAATACGAGTTGCCTATTAACGGTTAAAGGAAGTGCAGACCAAGGCAATGTGAATGTCAATCTCCCGTCCTTCATACAGGTATCATCTCGTAGATGTGCGCCGACAAAGCGAGTTGAGCACCCACAGACATTTCGTCTAGTAATTGTTAACGAAAGGAAGAGACAACCAACGCAGAGGGCAACGAAGAGGGCTAAGGACGTTACAGATACTGAGGCGCTGACAAGCGCTACCTCTACTTCTAGCGCGGCGGTGGTGTGCGAGAGCGTACGTCGGTACCGACCAAAGTACTGCTCACCTTGCGATAGTCTCGAAGCCCACTGCTGCGTGCCGATCAGAACAAAGACGACATCGATCAACTTCCGATGTTCTGATGGTCGAATGATGCAGCACAACCTTGAGTGGATTAAAAGATGCGCTTGCCACCCCATTTACTGTAAATACCTCTATCCCATTATCCACTAACCACAAAATCCCCATAGTAGCTTAGACAGACAAATAATGACGAGACCAAACCTTGTCATTTTGCGTATCCTTACATGGACTAACCTAAGTACGAACACGAAGGCGATAGGCAGAGTTAGAACGAATAGTTTTCGAGGACACCTATGCAACTTTAAATGAACACCGCTCCCAAGCACTCACAACAGAAGATCGTCGCGCAAGATCTAGATAGCACAATCGAATCAGCTTAAAACTTTCCGAAAAGAATGCGATCCCAACACATGAGTCTTCGATTTAAAAAAGCATTCAATGAAGAATTAATGAGCCTTAGTAAACATAGCAACGGATAACACATTATTGCTTCAGGTGACCACCTCGCGCGTTCAGGACTAGATCCGAGCCGATGCTCATATCATGGCATTCCATCTTCATCCCCTAATCATTATATACAAAACATAAGTAGAATAAAATTTACTGAAGGCAACATGAAAGCACTTGGGAAAAATTGTACACAATGAGGTCGACCAGTTATCTACAGGACTGCTACTCGTCATTATCTGATCCAGTAGCTACTTGATCGGTCATCACTACGTACTCACGTGTGGAATAACCGAACTTTAAAACGTCCTTCTCGCGCAGTTCGTAGTATCGACGAGACTCGATCTTCTTATTGTTAAGAAAAGTACCATTTGTCGACTCCAGATCGATGATGTACAATCTTACCCTACCTTTTGTCTAAAATTGGACAACAGATCAAAAAGGGTAAAACGCAAATGAAAATAGCTATGACACAAAAACTATAAGCCCCGAAACAGGTCAGAAAAATATAATGTACAGCATAACTACATAGTTCAAATGTCGTAAAAAGCTGACTGCCGCTATGCTACAGATAAAATAAGTCATAATAAAACTAACGAAGCGGAACTGCAAAACGGCGTGCTGTTTTGAAATGCTGGGATGCGCCATTGGCAAGTCCGCGATGTGTTGAGCACTCCCGATAAGATAACCACTTTGACGGTGAATGTGCATAACCTTAAGGGCTTCATTACCCTTAAACGGGTAAAGACGCCAAAAGGCTGTTGGTTTTCTTGCATCCTCTGGCTCGTTGTACTTGATAACAACACCCTTATATGTATTCGTATCTGCCGCCAATTTGCCTAGGTGAGAAATAATCCAATGAATCCAAGAATAGTGAACCCCAATGATCAGTCAAGAAGTCTTACCAGAGAGCTCAAAGTTCGGTTGCTCCTTCATTTTTACTGGCGATTTACTTTCTTCGATACGCTTGCCCCATTCAACTCGCCTGTCGTCAGTACCATGACGACCATCCCGAAGGCGATGCCTGCGATTCCTAGGTGAACGCCCAGGAGGAGGTGATACCGGTCTAGTTCTGTGGTGTTTTTCATTTGAGCCCGAGGTAGTGTGACCCACATCATCTTTAACCACAACGGGAGAGGAAAGTCTGGAGCGTTTCGGCTTAAAGCCAGGTCGGCTGTGGTTAAGTAAAACAGGCGAACGCAAACGACGGCGACGAAATCGATGTGGCGGCGAGTGCGATTCTTTCTTAACCTCTGGACTAAATTTCATATCACCCGTGCTCAAATTCTCCAATTTAGGCTGAGCCATTTTTGCTGTTTTTTTGCGTCAGTAACTGACAAATGCGTAAAACTCACAAATCCAAGTACCACCATAAAACGCGACTCCCGCTGCCATAAAGTGTGAACTATAACAAACGTTCAGAAAAAAAGTGTGATCAAAAATTGTAGTAAAATAAAGTAAATTGTAGGCAAACACGAAGCAGAAAAATTTTTTATTTATTCATTGGACGGACACCATGAAAGCAAGCATTACATTATCCCCTTCAATTTTAAACAATGTGTCCCTCCCTTTGGTACATATCCCACTCCAGTCATCACAACACATTTGGTACTACAAGTAAAAAATCTAAAGCAATAGCTTTTGCCACAAGTTAGCAAGCGACTATGGGATTGCATTGGCTTTCATAGAAGCTTCAAGTGGATATGGAGTTACGAATAATAATGCGCAATTTCTGTTAACCAGTACTCATTCCATGACCAGTCGTTTATTTGCAGAAAAGACGGTATCATAAACAGTCGTGATTATAAAGAGGTTCGCCGTAGTATCATACATGGCATATATTCACGTAATTAAAAAAAACAAATCCAGAATTTTTAGATACGAAACAGTAGTGTCGCTCTAGAAGACAATCGAATAATTTTCGAACGCCGAAGCAAAACGAATCTATTTGCAGATGTCAGTCCAAACCGTTCTGTGCAAATACTTTAGTGAAGACTCTCACTTAATGTAAATGCAAATTATCAGAGCCATAAATACATCACATTAACGGAAAACAATTATATCTAAATTAAAAAAAGAACAAGGCTACCATCTGCTGACAACAGTGTAGTATCGCGAGAACTACGCCAGATAAACTATGCACTATGAGGTGTATAATGCAGTGCTATGTTTATGTGACTACCTGACGTTTGACGGTCACTTTAGAGTTTGTCTGGCTCCTGTACACGTGGACTAGCCCTCAGCCTACACTCAGTCCCCATTTGCCCTGTCGTCTTCGGAATACATGTGTTCAACCTCACTTCTGCCTTCTTCCACCCTATTGGAAGCCTAGGCACGCTACACTGGTGGCAACGGAAAGCGAACCCGACATTTTCAACGACTTTTAGTGCTTTTGAAGAACCTCTGCTGCAGCCGAGGTGGGGTCTCTCTCTGCGGCTTGTTCTTCGTTGGCCGTTTGTTAAAAGCGACATAGTGCCCAGGAAAATCTATTGCTCGACAAACACCGCTGTCTTGCTGGCATCCTACGTTTGTGTTGCTAAACTTTGCCAAGTAGTCGACTGATTTCCGAAAAAGAACAGTAAGAACAAGCCGACGCGCAACGGTTCGATCTGATGATGCACTGGTACAATACATGCAGATCCCCCAAAATCGGGTTCCCTTGGCCGGAAGGTCGAAACCCCCCTTTTCATGACAAGAAGTTTACAATCCAACCAGCAGACAAGACTGCAAAGGAATTCTACAACTCGGTGGAGAAATTCAGGATTAATAAACGCATTCTAGCGTTGTGCATCGGCAATCATGAGCTATACATGCGTAGAAGGAAGTCTGACTCCATCGAAGTGCAGTAAATGAAGATACTGGCGGAAAGGGAACATGAAATGAAGGAGGCGAATTTACCTTGGTGGTGGGCGAATTCTCGAATCCTTCACAACGAAAGGATTTAGACTGACATTTGCATTTGCTTTCACCTTATTCCCGGGTTCCACAGACAAGCTATTAACAACTGAAGCGACACGACCGCAAACTATCTGGAAAAGTTTCATGTCAGAACTTCC